ACTGTATTTTAATAATGTATGAATAAATTAGCAGATTTTGCAATATAAGTTCATGTTCATATAATAGTTTCACTCATATAATAGGGTATATATATGAACTCTTTGACATGAAAAGTAGATTTGATTTTCATTCACATATCATTATTTTTGCCCAATCTAACTTTAACTCTCATCTTGCATTCGTGCTTAGCCATTGCTAATGGTTGCCTTCGAAATTGAAGGTAAAACCTAAAAAGTGATATTTCTGCGCCAGATTGCACCGAACGGATTTCCTATCTAAAACACTCTAACCGCCCTCACAGCCACTAAACAGCTTATTACAAAAAGTCCCATCCAAAACTCATACTATTAGTTGAACCAGAAGTTGACATTTCAGACTGCTCAAACAAACAGAGCAATGTTTTGACAGAGACCGAGCTTACGCTCTTCATAGAAGTTAACAAATGACTTGCAGTTGTTTCATCATATTAAACAGGGATAGAAGAAAAGATTTTCGACATCAAGAAACATTTAAAGGTGCAGTAAGCGATTTCTGAGAAACACGGTTAAAAGTGGATTGGACTGAGCGCCACAACACACCAGTAGCCAATCAGCAGTAGGGTGCGTTTACACTCATAATGGGGGAGGAGAGAACGTAAGAGAGAGGACAGTTTTCAGTGTCATTGTTTATCTTTCTTGTACACTATATTCTTGTGTTCTGGTTGTTCATTTTTGTTCTTCCTTCCTTGTCAATCATTCGTCTTCTTCGAATTATTTTGATTTGATTCAGCTATGATAAAGAGACATCCTTTCTTGCATTGCGTGTTCGTGCATTTTGGAAGGGAGAGACTGATTTCAGATATCAACAGTGTTCCTCAGAAATCGCTTACGCCGCCTTCACACTGGCAGTTGAAATCAGCTCCGATGCGGCTGCGAAACGACCGGAAGTCATTCATTTCCTATGGAGATTCGCAGACCGCATGCGAATGGGTCCGAAACGGGTCCGACCGAGTGCGGTGCGAAGAAAATCGTGTCCGTTGGTCATCCAGATGCGTTAAAAAATTTGAACTCTTGCGAAAAGCTACGGACGGTTCCTATCCGACAATTCCAGCGGAAGTTGACCGTTGCTATGGTACCAGTGGCGGAGCCAGAGGGGGGTCCGGGGTGGCACTGGACACCCCTGACATGCGATTGGCCACCCCGGGTGCCACCCCAAAATTTTATTGGCAGTTGCTGATGCTGATTAATAATAATAAAAAAAAAACCTTTCGTCAGCACGCGCGCATTTTTCAAACAGACGAGCAGCAGAGGACGAGAGATGGTTGCAAGTCAGGATACGTCTTCATCTTCACAGAAGAAACATCATATTTAAAGTAAGTTTTAGCATCAGGGTTGTTTACTCCGAATATATTAATATACGCATACAGTAGGCTACCATGCCGTGATGCGTTCTGGGTGCGTTTCCCGAAAGGTTGGCCAACTATGGTCGCAAGTCGGTCGTTAACGGCATAGTTCAATGACAACGATATTTTTGTTAGCAAACTAAAAGTGTTCGTAGAATTTGTATAATTGTTCTTTTTACCTGGGTGCAAAAAGGCAGCTGGAAAATGAATTAAACGTGTAGTGCTAGAATACTTTCCAAGTCATTACATTGAGTATTATAAATTCAGACGTTTGTGATACATAAAAAGAAAAAATAAGATTAACTTATCTTTTAAAATCGGACACGGAGCAGTTTTTTACATAAAAAATAAAACAAGATTATCTTTTAAAATCGTCCATTTTTCCTGTGCGTGAGACTGGAAAACCCGTAGTGGATGGAGGCGGAGTGATAACAGAACGCTTAGAGTGCAGAGAGGAACGGGCTTTGGCTCCAGTCCTGGCTTTGCGTCCGCGCCGTTAGGAGCTCAACATCTGTCTCGTATGCACGTTCGCTCTAGATTAGAGGATATTTTAATTAACTAATTTGCGGTAAAACTAGTCGATCACGAGTGGCTCAACGGGTGGAACTATAGATAAACTCATCTTTTCAGGTATTTTAGTGACCGGCTTGACACTTTAGCATGAGAAATCGGGGGTGTAGCGTGAGAATTGTCTCACACTCAATGCGTGAGAGTTGGCAGCCCTGCACACACTGCCCTACAAAGGCAAAGCACAGTAACGAAAATTACATATGATATTTGGTCAAAAATGAGTTAAGACTTGTAATGGGCTTTATGACATGTCTGTCTTGTGAAAAAATATCTGGGTTAAATTATGTCGTGAGAATTGTGTGAGACAATTCTCACGCTACACCCCCGATTTTATTTGCAAAAATGAGCAAACTTTAAGGGCCGATTCTATGGCTATGAAGCTCCTAAATCATAATATCACTGACTTTTGGAAAGAAGTCAGAACTCTCAATAGTTGCAGAGTGTCTCTTCCTTGTACCTTGGATGGAGTTTCTGGGGCGGAGAATATTGCAGCATTATGGAGACAACATTATTCTAGGCTTTTTAATTGTATCCAAAACGAATATCATGGGGGTGACCATCAAGTTAACGATCCAATTGTGATTATGCCATGTGAGGTGGATCAAGCTATAAGCAACTTACCCCAAAATAAAGCAAGTGGCTCAGATAATATTTCTGCTGAACATCTTAAATATGGAAGTAAGAAGTTACCTCCTTTATTAGCGAGTTGTCTTACTGCCCTTCTGAGTCACAATGTGTTACCAGATTCAATGTTGTCTGTCTTATTAGTACCAGTTATTAAAAACAAAGCTGGAATGGTGGGTAACTTAAATAATTATAGACCTGTAGCTTTAGCTAGTATTTTGTCTAAAGTCTTAGAAAAAATCTTGCTTGATAGGCTAAATGTGTTTATTAATTCTAAAGACAATCAGTTTGGATTTAAGGCAAAACATGGTACTGATCTTTGCATTTATGCATTAAAGGAAATTGTAAATAAGTACAAAGATAAAAACTCCACAGTTTTTATGTGTTTCATTGATGCATCTAAAGCTTTTGATCGGGTTAACCATGCTAAGCTGTTTTCTAAAATGAGACAAAGAGGGGTTCCAGAATACATTGTGAGAATCTTGGCCTATTGGTATGCCCACCAGTTGTTGCAAGTTAAATGGGGCAATAAGGTCTCTGCCCCCTTTGGGGTCAGTAATGGGGTGAGACAAGGAGGGATTTTGTCCCCAATTTTGTTTAACCTTTATATGGATGAGCTGTCTGAACGTTTGAATGGTTGTAAAACTGGCTGTATGAATGGTACTAAGTTAGTGAATCATATTATGTATGCGGATGATCTTGTGGTGTTTAGTCCAAGCAGTGCTGGGCTTCAACATCTTTTAAATGTGTGTTCTGATTATGGTCTGGAACATGATATTGTATATAATCCTGATAAGAGCATGGTTATGGTCTGCAGAACTAAGGAGGATAAAAGTATAAAATTTCCAGTGTTTAAGTTGTCTAACCAGAATCTCACGGTGTGCGAGAAAGTGAAATATCTTGGACATATTATTACTGAGCACATGACAGATGATGATGATATTGAAAGGCAACGCCGCCTGATGTATATGCAGGCAAATATACTGTTGCGTAAGTTTAGTTTCTGTTCAGATGAGGTGAAGGTGTCACTTTTTAAAGCATATTGTACAACATTTTATACTGCTCATTTGTGGTGTAACTACAGAACATCTAGTTTACAGAAGCTGCAAGTAGCATATAATGATGCTATGAGAATCTTATTAAGGAGACCTAGATGGCATAGTGCAAGTGAAATGTTTGTCAGTGTACGTGTAATCACTTTTAAAGCACTGTTACGTAATTTTATATATAGATTTATCTGCCGACTTAATGACTCTAAAAATGAAATTATTGTGAGCTAAATGTGAGGGTTAGTTCTACACGGTATCAGTCAAAGCTGTGGAGACACTGGTACTGGTGTATTCTGTGAGTCTATGTCACAAAATTGTATGGCTGTTGTAAAGGATTGTATGGGTTGTGTTTTTTTGTTGTTGTTGTTGTTGTTGTTTTTTGTTTATTTGTTTTTCTCTTTCTTTTTAAAAATGGACTTTGAGTCTGTAATAAAGTTTTGATTGATATGTCCTGTTTCGGAGATGCATTACCACATAATCTACACATAACATGTTTGACTGGCTGGTATAAAAAAAACTTTAAAGGCATTTTTCTCCGTTTCTTCATCAGAACCGCAGAATTGTGTTGTTTTAATTGATGGGCACTAAAATTTGTTTAAATTTTGAAGTAGATGTCTGCCTGATGACTGCTGTATCTAATTAAAAAAAAAGTTTGTAAATGTGATTTTTTTTTGTTTGTAAATAAACATAGCAGTTCAAAACAGACACATGTATCTTATCTCCTTGGTGCTTCAGCTTTGTTTTCTGCTAATATTTTGGATGTTCAACACTTATTACAAACAGAGTGACCCAATTACTTCCACTGTGTGTGTGTGTGTGTGTGTTTGTGTGTGTGTGTACCCCCAAAAATAGCAGTGGCCACCCCCTGGCCACCCCATGTATAAAACTCTAGTTCCGCCACTGTATGGTACTGATAAACAAACCTGAATTATTAACTTTTAATAAAATAAATATTGATTTTATAACGATAAGTTGTGATGTCATTTTTTATTTTCTACGTTTATAAGGGCAGTTAATACAATTAAATTGAAGGTAGACATTGAACTATTGACCACTATATCACATTTTTTAGCCGACCTGACATGTCAATGTCCTGAGCAACTTTCCTCACGCAGCATAACCCTAATCAGAGAGATCATACAGAACTGACAGAATCAAACTTTAATCTCTCCGCCATTTTGTTCAATCCACGTCCGACACTTTTCACTGTGTAGTACGACGTCTGTTGGGAACGTATTGCGTATTACGGAGCTGATTTCCACTGCCAGTGTGAAGGCGGCGTTACTGCACCTTTAAAGCCTGTTGGTGTCACTGACACCTATCACAACACCATACAAAGTCTCCAGACTGTAAGCAGGAAAGGTACATCTCTTACCTGCTATCTTCATATTCATGTGAGCATCCAGTAACAAGTTCTCAGCCTTCAGGTCTCTGTGAACAATATTGCGTTCGTGGCAGTACTCCACCGCTGAGAGGATCTGCCAGAACTTCCTCCTCGCATCTATCTCGCTGAGCCGCCCGCGGCTGGCCAGGTAGTCTGTGTTGCCAGACAGGGATCAGGTGTTATTGGGTCGTCATCTGCACATCCAGGCAACATGTCACAGTCATGAATTTTTAATGAAAATGGAATGCAGATTCTGACAATGAGCAGGGAAGGGCAGGGGAACATCTGTTTAACAGCACTGGTCATAGTAGTCCTGATTAAATTCTGTATTGGACTTGACAAAAATATTGCAGCGACCAAAATCTATTTGAAGCTGAACAGCTGGGGTTCACCACACTCATTTGAAATAAATTGAAATGCAAGTAATTTACTTCAAATTAAATCATTTTTATTTTGCCTTGCTTATAATGTTAGTAGTTTGTTGTGCCAAAATCAATTCATGTTCAGTTTCACGTATTTCTGACTTTTTTTCTCAGAATTGTGGGTTAAAAAGTCCAATTCTAAAGAAACAATACTTTTTTTTCTCATAAATGCAAGTTTATATCTCACAATTCTGACTTTTTTTAACATCTTGCAATTCTGATTTTTTTTTTCTCTCAGAATTTTGTGATACAAAATTTTGCGGGTTATGAAGTCAGAATAGTAAGATCGGATTTTTTTTCTGATGTAATTGAGCGTTATAAAAAGTAGCAATTACCTTTTTTATTCTGTGGTGGAAATAAGCTTCCATTCTTTTGTCATTTATATCGTTTTTAAAATATATATTTCTATTTAGTAGTTTTAGTAATTGTAGTACTTCAATTTATTTTATTTTAGTTAGTTGTCAAAGAAACATTTCTAATTATGGTTAAGGTTTTTCCGGATAGTATTTGTATCATATTTTTATTTCAGCTTTATTTTAATCGAATGCAACCCATTTTGAACAGTTAACACTGGTTCAGATATGTTTCTGAAAGGTGTATATTGAGCTCTTTTTTTCTCAAATGATTAAGGGACATTTATTTCCACAAGCAAAGACCCTTTTAATAACACATTATTTTCTCATGTCCTTTTCATGCATCACAGGTGTTTGTGTGATGATACCTTTTGCTATGTCGGAGTGACGTGAATATGGAACCACCAGCTTTTCATGAATTTTAAATCCAACGAAAACAACCTGTATATTCATTCCCTCCTAAAACAAAAAGCCTGCCTGTCATCCACAGCCGACCACACTTTCAAAACAGGACCTGATTGTCAGCCATGCCTGCTTGAAATGCGAGTCGAGCGCTGATAAAACAGCAGCCCTCTGAGTTAATCAGTTGACAAGGGCATGGAGATGCCAGTTGCATGCGTATGCATGTGTGCGTCATACGGGGCATGTAGGAGACTTCAAAGGGTGCGCTGTGCATGTGAATTCGAGACAGTGTGCGGCACGAGTATGGTACGATATTGAGCTGACAGATGGCTTCACATCCCTATGGATTGACTATATTCCATGTCATTTGCACCCAGCAGGTATAGGATAAGGAAATTGAACATTAATCTATATAATGACCACACATTAGATTTTAACTCAACAAAAATGGAACACCCAGAATGGAGGGAAACATGAAAGAAAAAAAAAACATTAAAAAAATATAGATATGATTCAAGTGAAAAGGAAGTGAGCAAACAGCAGACAAAAGAAACAAACAAAAAAAGACTGAATCACTGAATTGAATGAATCACTCATGCTATTCATTACATTTCTGTAGGAGTTTATGTACGAAGAATTGTGCTAAAGAGCAACTTGAAGGTCATTAACCTCCACTCAGGTATAAGCCCTCAAAAACAGCAGATATAAAAAGATCTCTACAATGACAATGAAAATTTCAGTTTCAGATGAGCTGACCTACACTTCAATACCAAATAACATGCAGGGGTATTCAGGTAAAGTTTCAAGAGGTCCACAATATGTGTTTTATGTCATAGATCAAAACGTGAAAATATTTAGAGGCTTTGTTAACCACAGACCTTATTTCAGGCAATTTAGCACAAAAAAAAAACGTTCAAAAAACCCATAGACTTTAGGGCGAGGGAACCGGAAGTGCTAAAATGCTAACTCACTTGCCTACAAAGTGACGTCATAACTTCGGCACTCTGTTACTTACCTTTAACTTATTACATTACAGAATTGAAGTCAATATTAGGCAAAACCTTATTGTCAATCCATTAATAACTAATTTTTTAGTTTTGAACATGCTTGTTTATAAAGGCCTATTTTATCGTACAGAACGCTAAATTGTATATGCTAATCAAGATTACGTTATGAGTTATGAGTGAGTTCCTATCTATATCTATAAATGGTCACCATGATTTTGCCAAGTAAGACTTGTTCCTGGATCAACATATTTTCTTGACCCTGGAACGACAATCTTTGTCTGAAAATTTACTCCTAACCCTGTCCCTACCCCTAAACATACAAGTTATCCCTAAAATTAGAGGAAAATAATATGTAATATGCACCTAACCCTGACTGTAAGCCTAAATTTGACATAAACTGTAATCTTGTACCTCAAATCTGATTGGCTGATTGGAATGTTGTTCCAAGATCAACTAAAATGTAGATCCAGCAACATGTTGTATGTGGTGATCTTTATCTATAAATAAAGGCTTTAGATTACATGAAATTACTATTAAAATCATCATAACTGCAAAATGCATAGATGCTACTCCTATGTTCCCAGTCCCACCAATGTTAAAATCAAGCCTACGCCCTTTCTAATCTGTTACTGTTTGATTGGATGCATATACTTTGATGTCAACAAAACATTCAGGAAAAAAGTCGTTTTTATTTTGACATGACACTATAAGAACTACTGGGAAACAGTTTTCCACACCATATGCGTCAAATGATGTTTCAGTCGGTGGGTGCCCACATTCAATTAATTATACTTTTTTTAATCTGTGCGATGGTGCACTTGATGAATTCATTACACAACTGTTATTTGTGTGTCGCGAAGAGGAACACACAAACAGCAAATAACGGTAGATTTGTGTGTATTGTGACCCACCAGGACCCGATGTGAGATCCACCAATCAGAGATACCAACATTCAGGGCTTTTCAGATATCCGAAATGTTTGCATGTTTAACCATGACAACAACTTCTCATTGGTCTATAAAAATGACTGACATGTATTTAGTGATCAAATTTAGCACTCTTATGGAAATATGATTATATTTTTGCAATTCGCATTTAAATCTGACTATTTTTCGAATTGTTTATCATAAATCAAAATCTCTCAGGAAAATGTTATGGGGTTTCTAATCAAAATATAACTTTCTGTTACAAAACAGGGCATTGATTGCATATATGGACTTAAATACCAGGTCATGTTTATCAGGTGTTTTGGGAGATACACAAGAACAACAAATGAATAGGAAAATAAATTATATATCAATATTCCTAAGAAATATTAAATAGTGCCAAATTATTACAACTCCCATTATTACACATCTTTGTGTATAAATACACTCACCTAAAGGATTATTAGGAACACCATACTAATTCTGTGACCCCCTTTCACCTTCTGAACTGCCTTAATTCTATGTGGTATTGATTCAATAAGGTGCTGAAAGCATTCTTTAGAAATGTTGGCCCATATTGATTGGATAGCATCTTGCAGTTGATGGAGATTTGTGGGATGTACATCCAGGGCATGAAGCTCCCGTTCCACCACATCTCAAAGATGCTCTATTGGGTTGAGATCTGGTGACTGTGGGGGCCATTTTTGTACAGTGAACTCATTGTCATGTTCAAGAAACCAATTTGAAATGATTCGAGCTTTGTGACATGGTGCATCAGAGGATGGGTACATGGTGGCCATAAAGGGATGGACATGGTCAGAAACAATGCTCAGGTAGGCTGTGGAATTTAAACAATGCCCAATTCGCACTTAGGGGCCTAAAGTGTGCCAAGAAAACATCCACCACACCATTACACCACCACCACCAGCCTGCACAGTGGTAACAAGGCATGATGGATCCATGTTCTCATTCTGTTTACGCCAAATTCTGACTCTACCATCTGAATGTCTCAACAGAAATCGAGACTCATTAGACCAAGCAACATTTTTCCAGTCTTCAACTGTCCAATTTTGGTGAGCTCTTGCAAATTGTAGCCTCTTTTTCCTATTTGTAGTGGAGATGAGTGGTACCCCTTGGGTTCTTCTGCTGTTGTAGCCCATCCGCCTCAAGGTTGTGCGTGTTGTGGCTTCACAAATCCTTTGCTGAATACCTCGGTTGTAACGAGTGGTTATTTCAGTCAAAGTTGCTCTTCTATCAGCTTGAATCAGTCGGCCCATTCTCCTCTGACCTCTAGCATCAACAAGGCATTTTCGCCCACAGGACTGCCGCATACTGGATATTTTTCCCTTTTCACACCATTCTTTGTAAACCCTAGAAATGGTTGTGCGTGAAAATCCCAGTAACTGAGCAGATTGTGAAATATTCACGGCCCGTCTGGCCCCAACAACCATGCCACGCTCAAAATTGCTTAAATGACCTTTCTTTCCCATTCTGACATTCAGTTTGGAGTTCAGGAGATTGTCTTGACCAGGACCACACTTCTAAATGCATTGAAGCAACTGCCATGTGATTGGTTGACTAGATAATTGCATTAATGAGAAATTGAACAGGTGTTCCTAATAATCCTTTAGGTGAGTGTACATTGTATTGAATGGGTTTACCAATTTATAGCCATTTCCCCCACATATTGCATAAAGTAAAATGGTTCATCAATTCTTATGCTCTTATGTTTTAGTCTACTCTAAACAATGTAATGACACGAACAAATACTACATTAAAAAAAACTTTTTTTTTTTTCTGGTTCTCAGGAGAATATTCAAATTTAACACAAATATTGTACACTGCAGAAAGAGTATGCTACTGTAAACATAGTGCCACCGCATAGATTTACTGCTGACTCTCGCAGTACGTGCGCTAAGAACAAAGTGCGCATGCCGTCAAACACAAGGAGTGTATTAACACAACTGAAGACGTACTGACAAAATCACAAGGATGTCTCTGTAAATTATTATCTTATTCCTCTTTTTTTTTGGCAGCAGCTGCCATATCATATTCTCTCTCTCGCTTTGTCAAACGCAACCTTTTGCCCCTTAATGAGGCTATAAATCTCATTCACTGTCTTTCATGTATGACTGTAGCGTTACTGCATGGGGCTGTTATGGGGGAGATGATTGTTTCTTTGGTCACGTAGCTCTCATCTAAAACACCAGGACCTTTTTCCATTACAGGTGCCATCACAGGACAAAAAATAGCTTCTGCTCAGCTCATCCATTAGCTTTAAGTGAGTGAATCAGTGTATAGATGGATGAAATATGCAGAAATGTGGTTTGACCATCTCAATCCACTGCAGGCATGGATTCGCTGCACATGCAATGCTTTACAGCGTGGGGTGAATACATGGATCACAATGAAATAGCGTTTGTCTGCACATATATAACGAAACGGACGCACTCACCAAATATCTCTCCATTTCTGGCATATTCTGTGACTAGATAGAGCATGTTTTTGGTCTCCATGACCTAATGAAAGAGAAGAGACGTGATTCTTATCCATTGCATGAATGTGGAATGTTATGGCAATGCAATTCATATCACAAAAAGCCTCAAATCACAAGTGCACCAGAGACGGACAGCATTTTCACCTGCCACTATAGTGTTCACACTTGGCTTCAAGTGAGGAAACAATTCTACATCATTGCAAAGTGTGATGCAAAGGAGAAGAAACAAACTGTCAATGGTGACAAGTGATTCACGTCTAGTCAATAATATGTTATGGCTATTTTTTAAGATACATAGGTGTAATATTTCTGTAAGCTATCTTTCTCTACACTGCTGTCCTATCTCTGAGAGCACTAGTACCATAGCATTATTGGACATTTCTTTCTAAAGTAAAGTCAATATAAACATTTCTGTTCCTCATGCTGTTAAAAAGCTTTTGAGTTTGAGACTTATATACAGTACAATAACAAATACATAAATACATAAATACAATAATTCAAAAGTAAAAGTTGTGTAAAAATAATATTTTTTCTATTAATAATTTAATAGATTAGTGATAATGATTTCTATTCTTATCTATTCATTAATTATATCATTGATAATAATTATAATGAGTATATTATTATTATCCACTGGTGTTGTTTAATATTTTTATTGACATTATTATTTGATTGATTATTACTATTTTTAAGTTTTTAATTTTATATTATTATGGTTGTTGATAAAATAAGCAAAAAATAAACAAACAATACGATATGAAATAAACAATAACAAACCAGTGGATAATAATAAAACAAATTTTAAATGAATAAATGTCAACAACAATATGAAACAACACCAGTAGATAATAATATCCACTGGCATTAGATATAACAAAGTAGTTGTGTCCAAAATGTTGACACACTGTAAAAAAAAATATTTTCATGATTTGTAATCACAACATTTTTTCTTTTGTCAAATCAACTTAGATAATTTATTTTGAGTTTCTGATGATTAAATCAATCTCCTTCATTGTATTAACTCAATTTTTCCATTTCAATGAACGTAAAATTTTAAGGCAACCAGGTTACTTCTTTTTTTTTTTTTAAAGTTAAACCAACAATATTTCTATATCAGTGCATTTCCACTTGTACCATGATATCACCACATAATCTTTTTTTTTCTTATTTTTTTATTGTAAGGCGGATGTTTCTTCATTTCATAGCACTATTTTTGCCTGGTTGTGACGTCTAGTGTTGAATTAATAACCATGTGGACATTTCGTAGATTTCTATAAGTTACTGATACTCCCAGTTGACTCTGCCAAAGGAACAGTGAGCAGTTTTGTTTTTTTTAGAAAGCTCTATGTATAATACCAGACAGACAAATCACAATATGACAACTGCCATGATTGGACTGCTGCTGATGCTGTATTTGTGTTGTGTAACTGTTGATAATGCATTAGCATCCAGGCCCAGAGTGACCTAAAAATCTTACATAACATGACAAGACTAACTCTATAAAGCTCCAGCCGAAACCACTGGATTCAACAGGCCTTATTCTCTAGAACAATCTCATTAATACAGGTAAGAAACAAAAATAGCTGGGCAGCTGATGGGTTATTATCAAAAATGTATACACACACATGTTCATGCAGTACCTGGTAAAGCTTGATGATGTGAGGATGGTCCAGCAGCTTCATGATCTCCACCTCCCTGTAGATCTTCGCTAGGTTCACCGCATCTAGCTGGGTCTTGTCTATGATCTTAATGGCCACCTGCAATTCAGCAAATGTTATGTCTTATTGGGCTTTTATTTTGAAGCCACTGATGTATGAATTATTTATAGTTTCCAGGAAAATAAAGGGCTATTCACTGAGCTGCACCACAACAATACAATGACAAAATAATTTTGGACCTATTGGCTTTAAAAAAAAAAAAAAAATTGAGTAACTGTAATAAAGTTGTTTTGTGCGGAAGATTTCAAATTAGCATAAATGCATTGCTCACAGACTGCTTCCTGTCTCATGTCTTTACAGGATCTTTTAAAAAAAAAATCATGCAACTGCAACTAGATATACAGCTGTTCCACTTTTTCTTCTAAGTGAGAAATGGTGGGAAGCGGCATCGCTTTGGTTTGGTTTTATCTGAATTGATCTTGACTGCGGCTCTTAGTCACTCTAAAACTCAAGATCAGAGTAAACTGACCCTGGCACAGCAACAACGTAATACTAATCTAAACTGAAGACAGAGGCATAAGAGAAGATCCAATTATTTACAGACAATAGCCTACACACCAAGCAATGAAAATTTTCATTTATTTAAAGTAAATCAATTCATTTAAAACAGCAACCCGAACATGCATGCATGTTTTTATACTTATGATTTGCCACTGTGCCCTAGATATCAAAGGTCACAGTTGTTGTTGGTGTTTTATGGATCTATTAAGCTATTCAAAAATATATTTTAAAACGTAATGCATGAGAAAAAAAAATCAGAACCTGTTTTATTTCACATATAACTTTTAATTTAAATAAAGTCTTAATTAAAATGCCCACACACAAACACATATGTATACTCAAGATGTTTTACATTTACATTTTACATTTATTCATTTAGCTGATGTAAGTCAGATATTTCAAGTTTATGGTCTGGGCATTGTATATGGTATAAACGTTGTTCAAAACTGTATAAAACCAACATGAGTAGCAAATATTAGACCTTGGCACATGTTTGAGAAAAACTGCAGTTAAAAAAATATATAGCCTATATATGTGTGTGTGTGTGTGTGTGTGTCATATATATATAGGCAATTTTATGTTATATTTTTCTTACAGGCCAAAATACAACTTACAAATAATTAGCCTACAACAACACTGATAAGTGTAAATGTAAGTTGTTCCAATGCACGTTCACGCATGCACACTGAAAACACTAGTGTGTGTGCGTGCGTGTATTAGGCTACTCACCTCAGATTTTGTGATGCGATGTCTCGCCAGCTTCACAACTGCAAAATTGCCTTTTCCCAGCGTGCGCTCAATATCATAAAATCCCACGCGAACCGGTGCCCGCTGCTGCGACGGCTTTTGGTCCTGGGCGGCCATGACCATAGTTTTCTAGTGAACTACTGGATAATGATGTGTGTGTGAGATGATGGTTTGGCCACCTTCACCTGCTCTTACAAAGCAATTGAAGTGGCGGGTATGATTGTTTCTAATGCCAAAGCTAAAATGCAAATGGGGCATATGGGTGGCCAGGGCTCCAGCACATTTCTTCGCTGCCAGATCAGGGCTCTACATGACTGAAATGAGACTGAAATGAGAGCGCATTCCGCTCTGATGGTCGGAATGATGTTCTGGCGCTCGACATGCATTGACGTCAGTGCAGAAGGGATTTTATAAAGGGGCGGATCTCACAAAGCGGCTTCAATGTCCGTCGCGGCATGTCACCAAGACAACCTTATCCACTGTGTACGTCAATCAGCGCCTATAGCGATCTCTCCAAACACTTCAACTCGGTTGCGTTCATTTGACCTTCAACAAATGAAATGCATTTTATTGTTTACAATAATGAAACCCATCATCTTCTTCAACATAAACAGCTGCACCGACAAGTACCCTAAGCGTTTTAATTCATTTACGTTTCTCATAGAGGACTGGTTTTGCCCAATGCGTGCAAAAACAACTGTCATAGTCATAGATAAAAACAAATATGAATGAATCAAATGGATAGAGATGCTCTCCCTGTGAAATGCAGCTGACATCATTGCTTCATATTTAGAATATCTTTTGGGTTCAACACTGCAGTGTCGACAAAGGAACCCTAATCTATGATGTATACCATATTGCTATGCGATATTTGCAATAACCATTTTGAATCTATCTATTTGGATATCTATTACATACATTTTTTTTAAATTTAAAAATGTAATTGTTTTTAAAATAAATTAGGTCTATATATGATTTAAAATGCATAGAATTTAATATATAAATATATTTAATAGATGCGTATTTGTACATTTATTTAAACATCTGTAGCGCTCCTCTGACTCTTGAGCATGCTGTCAGATAGCGACCTCTGCTGTCAAAAATGGCTTATATATATAGTAATTTCTGAACACTCACATACAAATTTGTATAAGCTCCAGAATGATCCATGTAAAAACTGGTTTCCAGTCTAATCAAATCGCTTGGTAAAATTGTATGGGTTTGGAATGAATTGGTCTGAATCTTATTAATCGTCTTCAAATAGTAGATTTTATTAAAAATCTTAAACTTTGTTTACCCATCTTTTTACCTCAGTATAAATTACAATTGTATTTATTTATTTATTTTTGAACATCACATCTCTTAAACCATCCAGAGCAAAGGATATATTTGGTATGGATGTAGTAATGCTTAAAGAGCTCAGTGAATCACTATACACTATCACCAAAATGATCAGCTGTTCAACTTCGACTAAAAAGTTTAAGTCCCTCTTGGACAAAGGTGGGGTTTTCGGGCGGTGTTTCTTGACCTCACAAAGACTCTTGACACTGTAAACCACAGAAGTCTAATGTCTAAATTTTTATGTTACCACCTCTAAAACCATTGGACTCTGTATATCACAAAAATTATTGATAAAAAATATCTGTTCATTTTCATCATTGTTTAATTATAATAATAAAAATAATACTTTTCATCATTAAAACTGTATGTTAGTGTTAGAACAACTGCACGTCGGTCCACAAGGGCTGGAGAAAGAGGGGACTGTATTATTCCTCTCAGAAAAAGTCAATTTAGATGCTCTGTATTTTCAGTGTTAGCCACAAGGGAATGGAACTCCATCAATAATTAGAAGACTGGATATAGATATGGTTATTTTAAGTTTCATCTAAAGAAAAAAAAAATGGTTACTTACTACTCAGCACTGTCAACATTAGTATCTTAAAATTCTGATTTTAGCATCTTTGTAATAATTGTTATTTGCTTTCTCCTGTCACAATTTTTTTTTCTCTGTTATGTACCACAATATGTTTAGACAAAATTTACTGTTAGTTTATTTTAGCATGATTTCCACACAAAATCATGAACTATTTTTTTTTTTTTTTAATTTGATAAAATTTGAATGGGGGTTTCCCCTCGTGTTTGTAGATGCTTGGCTTTTAGGGTGACTTTTTAACATTCTGTCAAGGCTCTACAGTTAATGTGCACTGCCCACAAGTGAAATAAAGTCAACATGAGAGACTGCAAGACTGAAAAGAAGTCAGCACAACCATATTTGCTTTGTTTTGAAAAGCAATTTACACTACTATATCTATCTATATGTTGCTGTTTTTTCTCCCCTTTATTTGTATGTGAGTGTGTGTGTGTGTGTATAAATGTCATTGGTCTCTTACTTTGTATGAGCAGCTATGTCTTGTTAATAATAAAAGGTACAGAAATGCAATCAAATAAAAGCATGTTTTGTTTTTAAAAGTTAAGACAATCATCTTTACAGATTGTTTCAAAGCAGCTTTACAGTGATAAACTGGAAGATAATGTTCAATGATGCCAACACAATTCAATTCTCTAAGATTCAGCTCTAGTGTCATTATTCAGCTGCAGTCAGTTCAGTAATTGTGTAAAGTTCATCAATTATGTAATGAGTTCAATTCAGCTGTAAAGCAGCTCTGCAGAAACAGTGATGCCGCATTCAGCTCAATAAAAATCTTGACAAAATTTTTTAAGTGGATCTTAGTAGGATTATAAAAAAGTAGGACATGATCCCTAGTTTAAATAAATGCTTTCAAAGAATAGAAAAATTAGGTGCACGACAGCCCTCTCTATGGTTGTTTAAAAAATATTAAAAATGTCAGCCTCTGTTTTCATTTAATTTCTTGTATTATTAGAAAGATTCAGGTCTCAAATCTTTAAAATTGAAGAAATAGCTACCAACAAACAAAATCTAAAATTCTAAAATCATTATTAACTAATTAACTCATATGTTGTTCCAAACTCATATGTGATTTATTTTTTAATTTTTTTGTCAGTTTGAAGTGAAAGGCCTATTTTTGTGCTTTTTATTTTGCACTGAGATTTAGACTGAGATCTTCAATCTATCCCTAATAACCATACAATAAATGAGACTAGAGCCTCTTGACATAAATAATAATAAAAAATATTTTTGCATGAAATCATCACTGGTTATTAAGCTTACAGAAGCTGCTATTGTATTATTAGAAAGATTCAGGTCAGTCTTGAAGCTTATTTGAAGAGTTCACAGATTTAGGAAAAATGATATATTCGAAATGTATATTTGACACTAAGGACAGTGATGTATTTATTCAATTGTCGAAGCTGGGTCTAACTCTAATCATTAAAAATACGCCGCTGCGGTCGTTTCGGATCTGCCGCAAATGCTGTAACATTAAAGTGAATGATCTGTCTCTAGATGTATAATAACCAACAACTTTTCATATTATGTCTTATTGTTTCTTACCTTAATTAATTATGGTTTTCTAAGTATGGGTTTGAACACTTTTATGACATTTAGGCCTACTTTTTTATTAAAACAAATTAACCATTGACATATAAAACTAAAACTCAAATTATGGTCTTCAAAGTATGTGTTTTCACACATTTATTTATGACATTTATTTTTTAAAAATGACAACAAATCTTAATGATTTAGCCTACTTAATTTTCAGCATCCTTCACTTGGTCCTCCATAAGTGCAACACGAGGGGAGACGACAACAACTATTGGGTTTGCTTCGCTATCGTTCGCCTTAGCTAACTCATTCACCACTAGTGGAGTGAGCTGGAAAATCAAACTTTTCCCGAATCCCGTGGGGATGAGGGCCACAACATCATGGCCACCAACAAAACTTACAGAAGAACATTGTTCTTGCTCCGGCTTTAAATTCTGTATATTCGGCAGTTTCCCAATAATGGACCGAATAGCTTTTTCTCACGTCTTTCTCCGCTGTTAACTCCAACTTAACTGATGTGCTACATCAACGTCATCGTTCTCAGCCACTCCCTTTATTCAGCCACTCCCTTTATTATTATTTAGGGCTTGATCCTGGTCATGACAATCTCCTGAACTCCAAAGTGAATGTCAGAATGGGAAAGTATAGGTGATTCAGGCAATTTTGAGCGTGGCATGGTTGTTGGTGCCAGACGGGCCGGCCTGAGTATTTCACAATCTGCTCAGTTACTGGGATTTTCACGCACAACCATTACTAGGGTTTACAAAGAATGGTGTAAAAAGGGAAAAACATCCAGTATGCGGCAGTCCTGTGGGCGAAAATGCCTTGTTGATGCTAGAGGTCAGAGGTGAATGGGCCGACTGATTCAAGCTGATAGAAGAGCGCGTAGCTCGCGTGGTGAGCTGAAACCTGCGTACCTCATGAAGTGTGGAACATCCAATAGGAAAATTCAACTGCAGTAGCCACCGTTCAACCTGAAGAGGGCAGCACTAAGAAGTTTTTACACCATATATTGTAGAAATAAAACACTTTATACACAAATGTCAAAAAAGTTACTTGAATCAATGACAGGGTTTACAAAGAAATGGTGTGAAAAGGGAAAAACATCCAGTTTGCAGCAGTCCTGTGGGCGAAAATGCCTTGTTGATGCTAAAGGTCAGAGGAGAATGGGCCGACTGATTTAAGCTGATAGAAGAGCAACTTTGACTAAAATAACCACTCGTTACAACCGAGGTATTCAGCAAAGCATTTGTGAAGCCACAACACGCACAACCTTGAGGCGGATGGGCTACAACAGCACTACCACTCATCTCCTCTACAAATAGGAAAAAGAGGCTACAATTTGCAAGAGCTCACCAAAATTGGACAGTTGAAGACTGGAAAAATGTCGTCTGGTCTAATGAGTCTCGATTTCTGTTGAGACATTCAGATGGTAGAGTCAGAATTTGGTGTAAACAAAATGACAACATGGATCCATCATGCCTTGTTACCAATGTGCATGTCCATCTCTTTATGGCCACCATGTACCCATCCTCTGATGTCTACTTCCAGATGGATAGTGCACCATGTCACAAAGCTTGAATCATTTCAAATTGGTTTCTTGAACATGACAATGAGTTCACTGTACTAAAATGGCCCCCACAGTCACCAGATCTCAACCCAATAGAGCATCTTTGGGATGTGGTGGAACAGGAGCTTTGTGCTCTGGATGTGCATCCCACAAAGATTCATCAACTGCAAGATGCTATCCTATCAATATGGGCCGACATTTCTAAAGAATGCTTTCAGCACCTTATTGAATCAATGCCACGTAGAATTAAGGCAGTTCTGAAGGCGAAAAGGGGTTAAACACAGTATTAATATGGTGTATATGGACAAGCAGGACTTTTTTATATTGATGTTGTTTGTGTTGGATTCTGTGTTGTGCTCAAGGCAGGTGGTTTTTTGGTGTTATCAGACTCCATGTCGTTAGCAGCAGTGCCGTCGCATAGGCTGTAAATAAAAAGGAGAGTGGCTCTGGAGCGCGCATCTATGTCACATCCGATGGATTTCGCAGAAAATCTGACCCGGAGACTTCACATAGAAATAGGAATACTGGCCTTCAGAGGTAATAGCAAAACCCGACAAGTGGATCATTGTAATGTGTGATTACAACCCCTTCACACACAGGCAATAAAAAAAAAGGATTCATTTAAGAAGAAAAGATACATATAGCTCCTTTTAAAGGGTTAGTTTACCCAAAAATAAAAATTCTGTCAGTATTTACTCACCCTCATGTTGTTCCAACCCCGTAAGACCTTCGTTCATCTTCGGAACACAAATGAAGATATTTAAGATATTAAGATCACTCCTGTATACTAGTCCATAGGCTTCTTGAGGGAATGACTTGCTGGCCTCGAAAAGTCATTAAAGGACATGAGGGTGAGTAAATACTGACAGAATTTTCATTTTTGGGTGAATTAACCCTTTAAACAACACAAGGGTGAGTAAATGATGACTTGATGTTCATTTTAGGGAGAACTATCCCTTTAACTGCAGTTTGTCTGTGCCAGTGAGGATCCCAGGCAATTAAAGGTAAGCACTGTTTTATAACTTTTGCCAGATTTAGCCTCCAAATTTAAAGGGTAACTTAAATTTTTTTGTTTTTATTTTTTTTAATTTTTTTTAAAGTCACTAGTTATTATTAGCATGCAAGTACTCTATCTTTATCCCTCTGGGCTTCTTCGTCCGAAAATGACCGAAAACTTTTACGTTTTGAATTTGTTTTTTCAGACTTCCTGTCTGTCTATCATTTCAGGGCAGTGCGAAATCGGAAGCCAAGAGCGCAATAGAAGTTATAAAATTATTATCTGTTGACCACCATAAACATACCCAAATGTCTTAAAATAAATAAGAAAACACACACACACACACACACACATATATATATATATATATATATATATTCTTGTTTTTCTTCAATAGTGCTGATCATTGATTCAAGTAACTTTGTTGAAATGATTACCTATATGAACACACACACACAAAATTAAGGAGATGAATCTGATATGTTAAAGGGTCATAAAAAAATAAGGATATGAATGGGAAATACGAAAAAATAGGAAAACTCAGAGAAACTTTTGGTGGTACAAGCTACAGATAAGCCACTGTGCAGAAAAAAGTGTACAGAATATGCAAAATTAAATCAATAAATGAAAAAAAAAAATCTCGCTCAAATGCACACACACACACAACAAAAAAAAAAAATGAGAGAGAGAGAGAGAGAGAGAGAGAGAGAGAGAGAGAGAGAGAGAGAGAGAGAGAGAGAGAGAAAGTAACTGGTAAGACTGCAACAAAAAAAATTGTAGAATATGCAAAATAAAATCAATAAATAAAAAAATCTAGCTCAAATGCAGTTTCATTGATTGTAATCATAATGCAAAACCTGATATTTATCTAAAAAAGTTGTTGAAAAAAATAAAATAGTCTTTTAGAATATCCAAATGTATATCTAAATAAAAAAAACCCTGAATAAGATCGAGGAATCATGTCTAAAACAACAAAAAGAATCAAAAAGCCTTTCTATGTTTTTATATACGAAGCTAATAGGCAGTCTACAGGCTGGTACAGGACATTGCACACATGTAACTATTTTTAAAGCCACAAGATGGCGCTCTTTTAATTTTTAATAGGCTGGCACTGTATTTTGATAGAATTAATGCAAAGTATCATAGAAAGCTCAAAAACTTCTTAATAATAATCAGAAAATATTATAGAACAAAACTATATTTCAATGGTTATCCTGGGAAAAAATAAAGTTAAATTTTAAGGCTTCGTCCATTTTTGACCGTGAGGTTCATGTGCTATGGTAATTATGGTAAATACCAAAAGCTGATGTGGAAAATGCACATGAACACCCCCTCGTGTGGTATTTACTACTGGGCAACTCGTAGAATATTTTGATGGACGAGTTGCCGAGATGAGATAACCTTTGACCATTTCAAAATGGCGGAGAGCACCTTGAGAGTCGTGAATGGTAAAAAATATAAATACTATTCATGATCTAGAAAATATACAGCATATTATTTACCTTTTGAGTTTTGATAAATAATTTTCTTGCTATTGCAGATGACTTAAGCAATCTAAAATAGTTTTAGCTAAATAACAGGTCTGGATCTCCATCTTTTTACAACATTACAACAACAAAAGCACTTGAACGCAATTACACACGCAATACCAGTTCACGTGAACGCAGCAGAGTGTGTTACCCATAAAAAGAAGCCCAGAGGAGTATTTATGTCCGGATAAGTTAGTTTTATTTGTTTTGATGACATTTTCGCTTGTACATCGGGATGTTTTGCAAGTAAATGTAAATGAATTGATGACGACTTCAGGTCTGCGTACAATGATGATTTGAATTTTAGTTGCTATAACGACGCGTGTTGGTTTATGAATTTGTTTGTTTACACTCAAACATCGCAATCTTTTGCTCGAGAGACGAGGCGAATTCAGAGAGTTTTGCCGAGTATTTTCTGTGCAGATTTCGAAGCTATTTGGAGAATTCCTGAGAAAAAACTGATCATCTAGGAGGAGTAGATCGGAGGATCCTTTCCCTTTTTTCCCATCTTTTCTTTACATTTATCTTATTTCTGAGGAGGCTTCTATCTTATTGTTATTATCTGGGAGTTAAACTAGGAGTTTGTTGTTTTATTTAATTTTTTTATTTAATTTTTTTTTTTTTTTTTTTTAATTTTTGGTAGTATTTCTGAGGAGGGTTGTACTGTGTTATTTTTTTGTATTGTATTTTGAAATTAACTTCTTGTTTCTATTGCAGGTTGGAGGACGTTGATGGCTCAGAAGAGTGAAAGACGAGGTGAGTGCTCTACTTTCATTTGTTTATGTTATGGTATGATGATGATGGACTAAATTAATGTGCAGAAACTGTGCGAGATAACTTATTTGATCCGCCAAATTTCACAGCTAAATGATCACGTGTATTTGATTCCTTAATTGTTGCATGTAAAATAAACCTTTCAATTTTGAGTAACTAACTGTTATAGTAGCAATTTGTAACTGACTGCTGACACTGAACATTGATTATTATCAAAACTAACTATTATAATTATAATTACTATAATTATAATGACTAACTATTATAATTAATATCAATATTAACTATTATACTAACTATGTGATGTCTGAAATATTCTAGGCTCAGGCAGCTCCAGATCCGGGAGAGCTGCTTCCACTCAGACGGCTGGTCTGGAGGTTTGGAGACTCAGTTCTGACGGTTCAGCTCCTCTGTCTTCTGAGTTTTCTGGTTCTGTTTTTACAGGTCAGGATCACTGGAAGAGGCAGAGCGGCAGCCAGCAGAGCCCAGATGGTGGATGTGCGTCCACTTCTATTATAACAATATACTTATATCAAGTGACCACTGACATTGATTATTTATATTATTTAATAAAAATACAACAACTGATTTTGATGTTTGAAATATTCCAGTGTCAGGCCGCTCCAGATCCAGTCAGAGAGTCGGAGAGTTGAGTCTTAGCAGCAGGGGGACATGCATCGTTGAGTGGAGGTGGAGTGACTTTGGATCGGACGATCGAAGTGAACAGGAGGACAGTTGTGGCCACTGCAGATTGTCCGGGTCCGACAGCCTCCGAGAGATGATGTGTCCTCCGCTGCCAGGTCAGGTTCCTGTGGAGCCAGCAGTGACTTCCAATGGCCTGATAGCTCAGGGTGCCGTGGAGGCGTCTCCTGCCAACAAGAGCTCAACCGGTGAGATTGAAATAGGAGTGAGGGGTGTAAAGTGTACTGATTTTGCTATTTCATGCATAAGACTGCTTCAAGTTTTTAACAGGTTAATCTCTAGTCATATTTACTGTTGCTCAGCATAATTTAGCTAAAATGTTCTTTTTGTAAAAAAAAAAATGTTTCCATAATTAATGTTTGCAAAATTATAAAACAGAATGTTTCCTTGACATTTGCATTTGCAAGATTTTTTTTTTAATACTCAATACTAAATATTGTGAAATAAGACTTTGGGACATTTATGCAGGCATTAAGCAGAAGCAGGGCTGTCGTATAATGTTTGCATTACTTGGATTTGTAACATTACTGATAAGAATGGAACAGTAACGTGTAATTTTGTCATTGTTTAATTTGAGGTCAGAGATGTTGTCTTTTCAATATTTTTTTTCTACATTTCAGAATATAGGGAGAAGAAAGGACTTTGTGGTTTCCTCAGGAGGGTGTGGAAGGCTATGAAACGGCATTTCGGCTGCCGTTGTCACTGCAGTGCTGTGAATGTTGTGGAGCCTTTCATCCCTCCACCAGATCTGGACCCAGAGCCTGACCCAGATCACTCAGCCGTCAAGCACAATCATGGTAAATCTACGGTCATTATTTCTTGATCATTATTTTAAACAGTATTGTCGTCTTGTTTTCCTCTAAAAATATCTTAAGGCTTGTTTTCTGAGAATAATAATATTATTCTCCCCATTTTAATGTCATAAAGGTAACTACAGGGGTTAAGATTAGGTTTAGGTGAAGGTGCGTACCTAGTTATTATTACCCAGTTATTGTAATAACTTTAATAAGTACATGGGGAACAGGACTGTGAAATAAAGTGTTACCGGTAACACTTTATTTTAAGGTGACGTAGTTACACGTTAGTACATCATCTACTTACTATAGTAACAACAGTAAATTATGCATTCTTACAAGTAACTAATCCTAAGCTTAACTCTATAGTAAGCACATGTAGTCAGTTAATATTACCGTGTACTTATCTGAGTCAGTAAAATGTGAGTATGTCACCTTTTATTAATATTTTCAAAGGATCTAGCAAGCTTATTTATTTATAATATTGTTTCTGTTTTTCAGAGTCCTTTGCTTCTCTCTTCGAGGTAGGAGAGATGATTGGGTCCGGGGGATTTGGCAAGGTGTACGAGGGAATGCGGAAATTTGATGGCAAAAAGGTAACTATTACCGAACTGTAGAAACATTTTTGCAAAACACATTTAAGTACAATTTACAGATCATGGTTTGATACCTAGTGCAAGGTCAGGTGCCTGAATAGATACTGTTACTGTTAATGAAACATTTTTTGTTTGTTTTTTGCAGGTTGCCATCAAGCAGATCAGCAAGATTGACAACAATCGTTATCTTGCTATAGTAAGTTGTTGAATGTGTATTTAGTTGTTTAAGTGCTGATTACTGTAGTCAATACACCTGTAGGAAGCATTCGCTGTACATGTTACAGACAAGTAAGCCTAGAAGCACCAAATAACTTCAAGCTGAAAAGGCTCTGTATCTACAGAGGTCAAAGAAAAGTACATTAAAAAAAAATGAGATTTGTACCTAGCTAATCTTCTCTCTTCTACTTTTCTCTAGCCTGGGCATCCCGAACCTCTCGTAACAGAAGTGGCGCTGCTTCTAATGATGAGGCAAGAACCCAGAAGCCCCCACGTCATACAGCTGTACGAGTGGTTTGAACACCCTCGAAATTTCAGTTTGGTCATGGAGTACCCCGAACCTTGCGAGAGCTTGCTGGCCTTTATCGACCGCAACCTTGAACTTGATGAACCAACGGCACGGGTCATCATGAGACAGGCTGTGCTGGCAGTACAACACTGCATCGGACATGGCGTCTTTCATAATGACGTTCATCCGGGAAACTTGCTGATAAACAAAAACACGCTAGAGCTCAAGCTGGTTGACTTTGGGTGCGGTCAGCTTCTCAGTAGTGACGGCTACGAGAGCAGAGTATACCTTGGTGAGCATTTTGGCAGTGTGGAAACCTGAATGTAGTGACCTACTGATTATTTGACACTTTGGAAAAACAAAAAAGCTTAACAACTCGCGAATGTCTTGCTTACAGGATTAATGGCTTACCGCCCACCTGAAGTCTTCACGGATACGACATTCCATGCCGTCCCAACAAATGCCTGGGCTCTAGGAGTGTTGTTATATGAGATGACGAACGGATGTTATCCTTTTGTCAATAGAAAGCAAATCACACGAAGCAAAGTTACATTTATTAACTCCGACTTATCCAAAGGTGAGTGAATAATACTGAAATCTTTGATAAGCACACACATAAAGCAAAGGCTCTGTACAGAAACAGTTAAAGGTGAAGTAATCTATACAGTATGTAAGATTTTTCTGAACCAGTAAGAGTTGCCTTTGTGATGTTTGAGTTGGGAGAAGGCGTGAAGCATGCATCCCTTTGATGCAGAAACTGCATACTTCACCTTTAAAGATAAAGAACATGTTACCTTACATTAATCATGTTTAGATGCCAAGTCACATGCTCATCATGACTAACCAGCTCTCTTCTTATTAATATTGGTACAGAATGCCGTGATCTGATTAGCCAGTGCCTTACAAAGGATCCAACTAAACGGCCGACGTTAGATCAGATCTTACAGCATAAATGGCTCAGAGAATGATCTTCTTGTAGATTGGACAAGTTCAGGAGATTTCAGGTGTGAGGAAGTAGAACAGTCAGACAGAGTAGGATTGTTCTCATTTATCATTTATCTATTTTCAAATATGTGGAGTGAACAGAGTTTATTTTAATGTTGTTGTCATATAGTCACTTTCTTTTATTTAGCGCTTTATACAGGACAGATTGTTTCATGCAGCTTCATGATATTAAACAGGAAAATAACAGAATCAGTGATGCAAACAGAATTCAATTCTGCTGTAAAAACTTTTATGTGTTGACATGTTCTTATAATCTTTGTTTTGGACAGGAAATAACAAACTTGCTGTCCTTGGTGGAGGGCTTGAGCTTGTGACGTGACCTGAAGCTCGAAATCCAACTCGCCAGGGAACTCACGCCGCCACACCAGAGAGCTCAGAGCCTGGCAACACGGGGGATCTTGGGGACAATAAATCAATCAAGAAAAATTTGGGATGAGCGGAGTGGAGCGGTTCAAAAGCCACACCAGGCCGCTCCGCTTATTATCGCTTGGCGCTTAACGCAGTTTGCTTCGCGCTCCACTCAAATCGCCCCTCCTGCTCGCTCCAAAAAAAGGAAAAAATTACATATTAGGACTAGCCTATGTAAGAACAGGAATGTAGCCTACACAAAAAGTCCTGTAAAATTAAAAACGAATAAATGGGCCTAATAATATGAATAAAAATGATACAAACAAAAATATACATAAAAGTTTTAAAAGTAAATTAACTATAGGCCAGAATTTTGATAACTGAACTTTTGCTCAACGCGCACGATAAAAATTTAAATTGGCTTATAACCATCGTACAAACAAACTGCAGTAAAATTAAATGAATAAATGGTTGTAATACTGTAATATAACCAAAAATTATATAAACAAAAATGTAAAAAAAATATATACACATAAATGTTTAAAAGTAATTAATTATTAGGTCAGATTTTGATAAGCCTAACTGAACTTTTGCGTAGCGCACACTAATAAAAAATTTAAATTGGCTTAAGCCTATATCAATTGTACACAAAAAAGCTGTAAAATTAAACGAATCAATGGGCCTAATTATATAAATAAAAATTTGTTCATAGGCCTACATCAAAGTGTTAAATTAAAAAGTAAATGAACTATTAGGCCACCAGACTTATATCTAACTGAACTTTTGCGCAGAGAGCACGTGGATAACAATTTAAATTAGCTCAAACTTGCTGAATTGGGCTGGTTGCTGGATTCCAGACTAGTCCACAGATTGTGAACTGACTTGGGCTGGTTGTTGAATGCCAGACTGGACCACTGATTTTAAACTGACTTGGGTTGGTTGTTCGATGCCAGACTGGTCTACAGATTGTGAGCTCGCTTAGGCTGATTGTTGGATACCAGGTCACAATCGGCAGACCAGTCTAGTATCCAACAATCAGCCCAAGCAAGCTCACAATCTGTGGACCAGTCTGGCATTCAACAACCAGCCCAAGCCCAGCAGTTTGCAGTCAGCACATTTCCGTTACTAGTATGTGTCCCGGCCCATCAGTCTGCAACTAAAACAAGCCCGCCACCAGCCGGTGGACCAGTCCAGCATTCTGCAGGCAACATAATCCAACTACCAGTCTCTGTTCTGGCCCAGCAGTCTGCAGTCAGCACAATCCTGTTATCAGTCTGTGGACTGGCCCAGTGGTCGGCTGTGAATGTAATCTGAAGATAACATATTGTGTATGTACCTAAAAAACGATATCACAGTTTCTGTATAATAAAAAATAAATAAAAAATAAAATAAATAAATAATAAATAAATAAATAAAGTTGTCCTCCGAAGAGGGGGGGTGGAGGTGGGAAAAAAAATTGGCTCAAACTTAAATGTTATAACCCCGCTCGTTCGCGCTCCAATCCGCTCACATTCTCTGGATCCTAAAGTTAAGCCAAATGGTATATAAACACACTGTACAAATGTATTAAAATCTAGATTTCCCATACCAAAGAAGTGTAGTAGTGTGAATTATTTTAACTAAGGTAAATGTCACAAACCTGTCCTGATCTTTGTATTGCAAGTTAAATTGGTACCATCACCTTGTGTTTATAAGTTTGAACACCTACTATTTTATTACTGAGACTATTTGTCTTGGGGTTGCTGTCTCAGTGCGGGAAGCTCTGCCCATCTGGTTCTCATGTCTCTCATGTACATGCTCTGTTTCAGAGTGTCTCCAACTCTATGTAACCCCTCCCCCTTAAAAAGGTAAATCGACTCCAATGTAAAGTTCCCTTAGTTAGATTTGACTTGATGAGGCCTGCAGCTACCAACAGCTCGTGTTTCTCAATAAAGAGTCTTGCTGAAGAGACAACCAAGTCTCCTGGTCTTCGCTTCTGAGTTCCTACACTTTAGAAGAGAAAGTTCACAACAACACAAAGTAGCCTATTATATCCAAAAGTGATCAAATTCATCATCTTTTACTGGACTCTAATTTAGATTTTCGTTGTTTATCTGAGACATGGCTTCATATAAACTCCCCGTCAGGAGCATTAGAAGTACGTGCTTTTAAGCTGTATAAGAAAGATGGAGTTGGTTCTAAGGGGGGTGGAGTTATAGACCAACTTGTATAGCAGAGATCTCCTCTCACTTCGAGATCTTAGAGACCTCTCACTTGGGGCCAGTTGTTCAAAGGTAAGCTGATCTGATTTTGGTTATCGGATTGGATCAAATCTTGAAAATGGGTTGTTCAAAAGGGAAAGAAGGAATCTGAAATCGGATTAGATCAGGGAATCCAATCCTAGTTTTAATCTGGATCAAACCTTCAGTTTGTGTTGTTCAAAACTTGTCAGTGGGATTTGGATAACTTTGATCCAAAAAAACAGGATTATCCTGATCCCAACAGGGGGTAGAATTTGAAGGTGGATTTCAGGAAGAAAATGTTGTAAAACTTTAAAATTGGTCAAATAATACATTTGTATCATTTAGTGTATATACTTTTATTTATATTTTGTACTTGACTTGTGTAAACGTTGTAACAGTGATAAAGTAGACATAGACTAACAATTAAGCTATTCAGAAAAATTATCTTTTCCCCATTTGTGTTTTTTCTCAAAATAAGAAACACTTACAGTGACCCCATGTTGGCTCTTCTACCTGTTCTTTACATAGCTGGTAGCCCATATTGTGACATGTTGTCAGATAAGGAGCGCTGGTAATCCGGATTTGGTAAACTTGAAAACTGGATCAGGGTGATCCAGTCCAATGTTGCTTTGAAAAACCGGCATAAAATTAAGACGGATTACCTGATCCTGGATAGGAAAAAATGGGATTTCCAAATCCGGATCATTTTGATCCAGATTAAATGTTTTAATGGGGAAGATCTTATCCACTGCGCCAACACCTCTCACTTTGGTGCAGTGGATAAGACACATGCCTTTGGTGTGAGTAGGGTGACCACCTGCTAATAAGCCCAAGGGGGGACAAGGGGTATGTTTCTGAGGGACAATGTGGGACACTGCTTGGCGCGGCGGTCCCACGGGCAGACTCTGATAGTAGTTTACCCCTATCTAGAATTGTAACTATTGCCTTACTGTTTGTACATAAATAATAAAAAAAAGCACATACCTTAGCACATACATTAATAATGCCCTATTCCCTATACATGTGTAATTGCTGATATATGCTCATGAATAGGCCAACCAATGTGTATTTTTTTTTCTAAATAAAATGAATATTTTGAACATTCAATGAATTGACAGATGCACTTCCACTTACGATTTACATTAGCTATTTAATTTTATTTATTTTTAATTACAATTAATTCACTTTAAATAAATATAAAATTATAGGATTAACAGGAATTATAGTTCCTCAACACCACAGGAACAGTTTTAAAAAAAAGTCTAAACTCACAACTCCAGAGGTTCACAGAACGACAAGGTGTGCTGTCATGACAACAATGAAAAAGTTGACATCAACCTCAGCAGGTCACGTGGGAGTGGCAACCAGTCTTGGGGAAGTTCTCACTTTCAACTAGTTAAAAGTTTAGTCCACACATTTTAAAATGAACTAGTTCAGTTCAAAGTTTGCACAGGAATGTAAGATTTTTCCCATCTTCACCGACCTCGTTATAAAATCCGTTTAAATTATCAATGACGCCTTTGTCGACGGCGGCCGCGGTGCGACACTGGTGGCTTCTGTTGCCAGATTGGGTGTTTTTTTCGCTACATATTAAGCCCTGTTTACGTTGAGTTCTAGCCGGGCTTTCGCCTGGAAGGCTCTATAGAAATATGGCACCCCATTGAACGAAGTTAAACTGAGAGAGCGTGCGTTCACAGATTTAGTTACAGCGTGCGTTCAGGACAGGCAGTAAAACAATACGTTCAGTTCACCCACAATACACCCCTTTGGATAAAAGCGTTCAGCTAAATGTAAATGTAAATGGTTCTCACTGCAGAAACCTAACCATCTCCACCCCCAGATCCCTAACCCCACCCCTAATCTCCATCTCGGGGGTGCTACTGGATCTCAGGGGTGCAACCCACTAAGCAATGAGGTGCTATTGAAAAAAAAAACACTAAGCCCAAGGGAAATGGAGGCCTGATCTATGAGGCCAACAATATTTTCACGTTATGACTTGAAACCAATTCAAGGGGCCTAAATATCCAACTTAAAGACTAGTGGGGAAATTCTAGGTACAATATACACATCTGTAACGTAGACCTCAGCATTGCTGCATTCAACTCTCTCTTCCCAGAGAGAGACAGGTCCAGTAGCACCTCATTGCATTACACGAGATCCAGGGGGCGTAGTTGGATCCAGATCTAAGGGGTGAAGATGGGTAGGATTAGGGGTGGGGTTAGGGATCAGAGGGTGGAGATGGGTAGGATTAGGGATGGGGTTAGGGATCGGGGTGGAGATGGGTAGGATTAGGGGTGTGGTTAGGGATCAGAGGGTGGAGATGGGTAGGATTTGGGGTGGGGTTAGGGATCGGGGTGGAGATGGGTAGGATTAGGAGTGGGGTTAGGGATCAGAGGGTGGAGATGGGTAGGATTAGGGGTGGGGTTAGGGATCAGAGGGTGGAGATGGGTAGGATTAGGGGTGGGGTTAGGGATCACAGGGTGGAGATGGGTAGGATTAGGGGTGGGGTTAGGGATCAGGGTGTGGAGATGGGTAGGATTAGAGGTGGGGTTAGAGATCGGGGTGGAGATGGGTAGGATTAGGGGTGGGGTTAGGGATCAGGGTGTGGAGATGGGTAGGATTAAAGGTGGGGTTAGAGATCGGGGTGGAGATGGGTAGGATTAGGGATGGGGTTAGGGATCAGGGTGTGGAGATGGGTAGGATTAGATGTGGGGTTAGAGATTGGGGTGGAGATGGGTAGGATTAGGGGTGGGGTTAGGGATCAGGGGGTGGAGATGGGTAGGATTAGGGATGGGGTTAGGGGGTGGAGATGGGTAGGATTAGGGATCAGGGGGCAGATAAGGTAGGTTTAGGTATATGTAAGGTGATCTAACTCCTCCCTTCTGGATTTCATGTTCTGCAGTGAGGACCTTCTCATTTTTTTTGGCTACCCACAGCTCTAGTCTATTCACCCTGCACCACTGGGGCTCTTTTTAATACTCCCTCCCATTGGGATGAGTTTGAGTACAGTTTTATTGACCACTTTCCGCGGTTGAAACACTGATTGATCGATTAAATGAGACATAATACATTTTGAAAAGTTGTACTGTATCTCTCAACATACCTTTTAATGTTCATTTGTGTTTATTTACTAGTAGTAAAGAGGAAGAGATGATCGGTGCCACTTGAACTGAGGTTTGAATATTGTTTGAATTTCCTAATAAAATGTACAGAATTTGAAAGCTGAGACTTTGTTTCATATCAAAAGTAACCTTCTCTGTCTTTTCACTGTGTGAGAAAATGGATTTGTGGCGTGAGAGCTGGCAGCCCTGTACATGCATTTAACTGATTGGTTACATATTTGCCCAAAAATGAAAGTAAATGTATTTAGTTTCAATTTCATTAATTTCTTTTTGTTTATTAAGGTTTCATTAACATCACGGCATACACATTCCAATATTTGCATAAGAAACTTGAAGGCTGTTTGACCATTCATTATTTCACAGAAAAAGACCTTCAAGAAAAAGTCTTCAAGAGATAGTCACAGTGTAATTAATTACTGAGGCAGATACAGCACATCCAGTAAAAGCAGCATAACATGGTCATGCAAACCAGTCAGTTTGTGTTCATCCTTCAGAGTTTGGCTTTAAAGATGCATTAAAAACTGGTAAGTACTGTTTTACTGTTCTTTTCACAATATGAAAACTAGGATTGTATAAGGTTAAATAAAAAAAAGGTAAACTAGCGAATGTCTTGATAATCATTACCCTTAAACTTAAAATGTTGCATTGAAACTCTGATAGAGCCAGTAAAATTGATGGTAAATCTGTAGAATTCTAGGAATTAGTTTTTCATTCATTTATTTAATACATTTCTGAAATCGAAAATATTCACACATGTAACCTTTGGTAACCTATCCACTTTTTTTGCAACGCTGAAGAAAGCTATTTTCTTAAAATGCGCAAGACTTCCGGTTCATTTGCCACAGTAAATAAACAACTAGAAGAATAACAAAGTGCAGTAAACTGGGAGCAACAAACCAGTGTGTTTATGATTACGATAACTATCAAACATTTACCTTTTAAAGTAATATTATGCTTATATGGTTATCATTACGACCACAAGTTGAAGGTAGGGTAGGCATTTGTTTTATGAACACGTTTTATTATACTGCTTGAAACACTTTTCACATCCTGATAGCAATCAATAATAGAAGTGTTCTAAATATTAAAACGTAGGCCAACATATATATTCTGTGGGAGTCACAGGACCAAAAAATGTTTGTCCAAACATTGCATTCGTTCTGAGCGTCACAAAGAAACAGCAGCCATGTTTTACAGTTCCTCCAGAACCAAAACAACAAGCTTATGCTGCGTTCACGCCATGTCTAGGGCCCGTTTTATTTTTTCCCAAATTCTGTTTTTTCCGTTTTAATTTTTACAAATTCCGTTTTTTCTGTTTTAATTTTTGGGAATTCAGGTTTTTTTTTTTTACCCTTTACTGTTATTTTAGTTGTAAAAGAGCTTTTAATGTTGCTTTTAATGTTAATGATTAAAATGTACACAAATAAAACATACACACTCGGCCCGGCACCTCATAGACAGACGTGCACGGAGGGGACTTCGTGTGTGTGTGCGACGAGTTTCTTAACTTTTTCGCCAATGAAAGTAGAGCCGTGGAGAGCCGCTTCGCCATGCTTTCAGTGGAAACGCGGCTATTGTTTTGATGCCGTCATGAGCTGAAATGACGGGAGGGGTTGTGTCGCCCAGATTTGCTTCCCCGTCTCTCTGCATTTTCCTCAGACATACGTTCTTCCCCCACACAAAAAACGAATTTCATTCCAAATATGTAAAATTCTGCGAAATTCCGCGTTAACACTAGATTCTGCGTTAATTGGCCAATTCCACGATTCCATCCGCGATTCCGTGAAATAAGAAATTATAGGGCCCTACATGTCGTAACCGCAATTTGTAAATGGAAACCCGCAAAGTTTTACCAGGAGCTGTTCACAACCTCATACTCGGATTTATGCGTTTCTATGTCAACGGCGAAATGAATCTGAAGCAGTCAGGTGGTACAACTAGAGCACAAGTTGTTTACGTTCGTTATTATTGTAATGGTATGTGCTTTAATACATGAGGTAATTTGACACCGTCTCTCTTCTCACACCACTTTTCAGACGCTGCTGTGTGCGTTAATGTGTTTTAAGGGAGGGTGGGATCTCATGCTTTCAAAGCTAGCCTGCTATTGCTAGCCTGTTCGAAATTGCCTACCCTACCTTTAATTGGATGGGCTAAACAAACATTAACAAACAATGTACTATACTATAGCTGTATACTTTGATACATTCATCGCTGGCTGATAACAGAAAACCTACAAAATTTGAGCATTTTGTACAGGTACAATAACCGAAAGCGAATGACACTTGAAGCCTTACACATTCAAGTTACTAATGACCACACTCATTCTTATGTTAAAAATAAAGTGGATACTTGAATTAAAGATAATACTGGGTATCTGGCACCAAGGAAATACTTGGGCAAGACATCGACAGGTAAGCTATTATCATTCTTAACAAGAGAATACCGTGTTTAATGCTAATGTCATCTTTTATATCAGTAGCCATATAACTCATCCATCCATCCTTGGTCTCTGTAGTATCTCCCGCTTCCACGGCCTTGCAGCGTGTCATACAAATCGTTGGTCACAAAGCCGCTCTCAGTGCTGGCCAGTGTCACAAAACCACTTTCAGTGTCCCGGCCTGCCAGGTTGTCATAATCTCCGGGTGGAGTGTCTGGGGAAGAACCCAGGAAGGAAGTGTTTTTGATGTCAGGCCGTGTGCCGGCCAGGTCTGATTCGTGCTGCCTTCGGATGACCTTGTAGACGTCAGGGCTCGGGCTGTTGCATCTTTCTCCAGCGGCCCAGTATCCTGGATCCTTTGGAGGAGTCTCAGTCTGTTCTTTCTTCCTGCATGCATAGATTATATTTTTTGCTATCAAATTTAGTGAATAGTGAAGAGATCAGTGAAACAACGTACCTCTTTGTGAACAGCTTGAAGCAGAAAACTCCCGTCGCCACAATCAGCAGCAGTAGAAGTGGTATGGTTGGCAGCACAATGTAAGCGATATTGAGAGTATTGTCTGAAAGACATGAAGGATATTGGTTAATATCAACAGTATACAGCCCTTTAAACACCATTCAAAAGTTTGGATTGATGTTTCTGAAAGAAGTCTTTTGTGTGCTGGCAAAGCTGAATTTTCAGCATCATTATTCCAGTCTTCAGTGTCAAACCATGATATTTTTTTCAGGATTCTTTGATAAATAGAAAGTTTAAAAGAACATAATTTATCAAAAATAGACATTAAAAAAGTCTTTACTGTTACATTTGATCAATTTAATACATTCTCACTGAATAAAAGTATCCATTAAAGAAAAATTCCTACTGACCCCAAAGTTTTGAACAGTGTTGTATACTTTTTCATATTTTACATTTAAAAAACACTATTCAGTTTTCCAGCATTGATTCAACATAGTTTAGCGGGGTCCAAACGTCTGAGACCAAGACTGAAAATATGTCTACAATTTTTAATCAAAAGATTTTATTATAAATTATGATATCAGCATACCCCTTTAAATGAAAACTTAAAAATATTTAGTATGGTATGTCAATGTGTTTAAAACCTGTTGATCATAATATGCAGCATGATGTAAAATGATCCAAAAAGCATCTTGTGCTTCAATTGAAGCAATAACGTCTGATCATCTGTACAAAGAGTCACAGGATCAATGAGACAAATTGACTTATTGTTTAGTGACCTAGAAATAGTGCAGACATATTTGTCTTCAATCTAAAACTCATATAACAACTCAAACCTGTATGACATTCATTCATCTTTGAAATGAACAAAGATATAACATTCTCTCTTTTTTTGCCTATCAATTGAAAAAGTCCATACAACCTAAACTTTCACAAATGAAAAAGTACAGAAAAATATAGTTTGATACAAGCCTTCTGAAAAGAACCAATGGAGACCAATAAGACTCTTCAACCATGTCTGACAGAAAAAGATTCACCTGGAGGTTCAGATACAACCACCCTCATGCCATCATCCTTCTCTGTGGCAGAGGGGTATCTGGGTATTCTGGGTGTCGGAAAAGCATCTGTAATATACGAGAATTAGGTTTTCGCGTATTATCTGGTGTAAGATATCTACAGCACATTAAACAGAAAAAGTACTAAACAAAAAAACAAGCACATGCAAATAAACCAATAAATGCAGACTTTCCCATATTTCACAAATGATGGATTAAAATGAATCCATCCAACATTAGGCCAGTAGTTCTCAAACATTTTGACTCCAAGGCCCCCCTTTGTCCAAGACAATATTTGAACGTCCTGCTATGTAAGCTGATATGTACGTTTGATACTTTTGCTGTAATACAAATTAAAAAATCTAAAATATTAGCTTATGTAGCTTATGATGTACATATTTAGTTGTAGTATTTTGTTTCGCATTGTAATTAGGATTATCCTTGTGAAAAAGAAGTACACTTTAGCAAAAATTTGTCATCATTTACTCCCTCCTCAAGTTGTTCCAAACCTGTTTTTTTTTTCCTGCTGAACACAAAGGATGATATTTTGAAGAATATGGAAGTCAATGTTTCCCCACAACTGTATGGTTACCCACATTCTTAAAAAGTCCTTCTTTTGTAAACAACTTAAGGTTCAGTAAATTATGACAGAATTTATATTTTGGGGTGAACTATGCCTTGAAGTGCGAATTGCATGTAATGTAAATCTAAAATCATTTTTGTTTTAAAATATACTCTTAAATTTGAAGCATAATACAAGTGACATTTAATACAATTAAGAGCACTTCTTTTTCACAAGGGTATGCTAATATAATTAAATTTAAATAAATTTAAGACTTATTGAGGCCCTCCTGGAAGTTTCCTGAAGCCCCCTACAGGTTGAGAACCACTACATCAGCTGTCTTTATTTTATAAAATACAAAATAATTTGTAATATTAATATACAAATTAATATATATATATATATATATATATATATATATATATATATATATATATAATCAAGCTTACCTTTAAATGTTTCATTTTCTGCAGGGATGGGTGCTAGAGGTTTATCTGAAACATCACATGATGACCATGTTATATCACATACTAAACAAGGGTTCGTTTCCCAAAGCCAACTGGTCGTAGGTTCCGTCATTACCAACAGAGAAAAACTTGCGACCATAGTTGGCTAACGATGCTTTCGGGAAACGCACCCCAGTTCTTGTTTCTCTTAGAAAGCTGTAATTACAAATTTTAAATGTGAATGGTAAATGAGAACTTCCCTAAGTCAGGATATTGTGTTCTCCAGATATGTGAACTCTTCTTCAAAGTATAAGCAAATGGGATTTTTATGAGTTTTTTTTTATTGTTTACTAGATGGAAACCATAAGCCTGTATAAAAGCACAGCTCTATTTATAGATCACCAACAGGAAGATCAGGTCTTAATTCACCCTGAAGGGGTTTATTCTATGATAACATCCGGCTTGATGTACATTATTCCGCTTATTACATGGCTACTTGCCACATAAGTAAATAATTATATGAAATAGGCTATTGATCCGAGTTGAAATATTTTATTACCTCTTTAAAAGCAAAGCTTCCGAAAAGAGAGCAGTTGCTAGCAAGTGGCAAGTTCAAACTAGACAGACATTTAAGGGATAAAGTACTGTAATAATAAATAAAATAAAATAATAATAGCTAATAAAATATTAAAAACTCAAATCAATATTTTCTGTACAATTATTTAATTGTGTCATCCGGTAACGCAGACTCGCTCTCCTGTTTCATACAAATACAGCTGCTGCCGATTTGCGACGATTGATTTGTACACAGTAATGGATCATAAAATAACAAACAGGTGTAAAACAGTTTAATCTCAAATTAATATCTCTTATCCTCATAATTATTTATGTGGCAAAATACTGTATAATAATTGGTATGACTGTACGGTATACCTTAAATGTTCATATAATTTATAACTTTGAATTTGCCGCTTGCTAGCAACTGCCATCTCTGCATGGGGAAGCTTTGCATTTAAAGAACTAATAAAGTATATGACTCAATATTTTGATCAGTCTAATTATTTTACAGTAAGTAGCTGTGTAATAAGCAGGATAATTATTTTGCGATAACAACCGGCTGAATGTACATTATACCATACATAACATACCGAAGATGGAACAATTGACCAATCAGAATCAAGTATTCCATAGAGCAGTGTAATAAGCAAGTTTAAAGGCACACTGTGCAAGAATTGTACCTTAATAACAGCTTCAAAGTCATTTCTTTGGGAAACAAAGTCATAGTAGGGCGAATCATCCTGGTAGTAAAGCTTGGGGGGGACGGTGCTGGAAAAACCAGCAATGCAAGTTTGAGAGGAGCGCCCCCGACAAATGGCAACGGCGTCACACACATCAACCACAACATGAAGCATGAAGACACTAACGCGCATTTCAGATGTGATACTCGACGACGGAAAAAGCAAAGAAAACATGGTCGGAAGAGACTAGGAAAAGAAAAAGAGAACCCGTGAATAAATGAATCAATCCGCAAGTTTTGTTTGAGTTCTTTAATGGTCTTGTGGTAGATCTTTTGCCAAGCGTGTCAATTTTTTTTCTCTCTCATCAAAACTGAACGTTCATCAGTGGCTACAGTCTATATCAAGCAGGGGCACGTTTTTGTGCATTTTATTTAGTGATTTCACCAGAGTGAATAGAGAGTCTCCGCAACTGCGACAGATTGAAGAGCGCGTCCGAGTGAAGACTGCGCGCGCTATGTATCCATGACACTGACAACAGCGGACACGAGCACTTAGCTTGAGTTCAAAAACACATTTTAGCCTTCTTGATCTCTCATTTAATGCAAAAAAAAATTACACTATGCAAGATTTGTACCTTAATATAACAGCTTCAGGCTGTGAGTGCAGAGACCAGTCTATGGCAGAGACGCTCTGCGAGAGTGGTATTTACGACAGTGACATTAAATACAAGTACTCCACAGCGACTCTAGGGGTCGCTGTTTGACAAAAACAGAATTCCTGCATAGTGTGCCTTTAATGTTTGTTCAAATCACCAAACTAAGACCTGCACAAGCAATATCATTAGTAAAATGAATTCACACAGAAATCATTTGAATTTAAATATTCCTTCCCAACCTTTGGTGTACTTGCAGATAAAGTTGTTTTTGGTTTCACAATTGTCGTCATTCCACTGGAACATGTAAGGACCGCCCTGGCCCGGAGGAGCAGAGGGCTGATGATACATCACTACACACACCTCATACCCACAAGAAGGCTCATCAAAGTGCCAGTTCCTGTCACACACACACAAAACAATGAGCAAAGGGACCTACATAGAGAATGTGTCCATCAAATGCAGCTCTCGTCACACCTGAAGGTTGCTTGGCTTCCATCCAGCCAGTAGTATTGAGATGGGCATTCTCCGTTTTTCTCCTCATAATCTTGATCCCTACGAAGCCCAATCCAAAAGTCACCATCTGATGCTTTTAGTTCATGGATGAAATTTTCTATCAGTATCTGCTCAGTCTCAGACTCAATACTGAGAAGGTCTCCACCATCACTCCTGCAGGCTCGATTCGCATCTTCAAAGTTGAGTTTACGTCGGCTGTCCTGAAAGTAGGCGATTTTATAGCAGGGCTTCTCGGTACCACGCTTGCAGATCTGTTGACCTTAAGAGACGCATTATAGATGTTAGAAAAGACAATGGAATGAAAATATATTTATACTTTTATTTGGAACACTTAAGGGATAATTCACCCAAAAATGTAATTCTGTCATCATTTACTCGCCCTAAAGTTGTTGTTTCTTTCTTCTGCTGAACACAAAAGAAGATATTTTGAAGAATATGGGCCAAACAGTTGATGGACCCCATTGGCTTCAATAGTATGGGGGGAAAATGACTATGGAAGTGGGCCCATCAATTGCTTAGTTACCAGCATTCTTCCAAATTTCTTATTTTGTGTTCAGCAGAAGAAATTCATACAGATTTGGAACAACTTAATGGTGAGTAAATGATGACAGAATTTTCATTTGTGGGTGAACTATCACTTTAAGATGAATAATTTTATATTTAGAAAATGAAACAAAAACAAATGTGTTGTGATGTGGGGTGTGTCTCAATCATCTCCCTAGTTCAGTAGTCAGGGCACTAATCAGGGAGTCGGCCAATTTAAGGGCTGTCTCATATGAAAAATCCAATGAAAAAATCCACTGAAACGTTCGCTCCCTAAAGAAAATAAATGTATTGCTCATTTCATGTTAGTTAATACATTAACTAATGTTAACTAATAAACCTTATTGTAAAGTGTTACCATTATAATTAAATAATGGTTTTAAAAAACATCTATCATTGTGTGTGGTAAGTTGGCTCACATGATTTATGTTTCGTGCTTCAGAACTTCCATTAGGGGAACAGAATGAGCTCACTGGTTCTACGTATTTATTAATCTTTGTTAATGTTAGTTAATAAAAATCCAGCTGTTCATTGTTTGTTCATGTTTAGTTCACAGTGAATTAACTAATGTTAACAGTTCAGCTAACTGTTCAGCATAAATATACATCAGGCAGGTAATGAACACAATCAAGCTCATTTTATAATTTATTTATGACTGAAATGATGCATATACATTTTATAGTATTTTATCATTTTTAAGTATTTTATCAATAAATCACATAAAAAAAATTGTTGGAAAGATATTAATTCTGGCTTTTTGTTTATAAATACTTGTGATGTTGTATGAGGACACTGTCATGTAGTCAAAATGTCAACATGTCCCAATGTGTAGTAAGCAAGGGTCCTATAATATCCTTAATTCATGTGCAGGATACACTAATTCACGACCTAGAACCTGGGATTGAGACACACCCCATATCTCAAAAAGTATGCAATAATTTTAATGCTAATCTAAACTTTAAGAGATCGATGTTTTTTTTTTTACTATATGGATTTACTGTACATGAAGTCACAGGGGAAAATCCATATTTTAATGCTTTAGCAGTCTTAAAGTTACAACAGCAATGACAGCACTGAAAAGTGAGACTGAACTCAAGTGCATTGTCAGTACAAAAGGTCAGCTAAATGGCAATCTTTTTTTCTCCAGAACACAAATTTTCAGTTACATGTTTGATTACTTTTTCTAAAGCAATGTTGTTTTTTCAGACAATCAGCAAATCCAGGGACTCCCAATGTAAAATAAATAAATACACGAATAAATAAATCCTTAAGAACATTAATAACATCGTGTAGGCAGCAGATTTACTCTGACAAATGTAAAAAAAAATGTAAATATGTATAAAAAAATGTAATATGTGCCTTTTATGATTACTTTTCGCTCTATGACCAAATAAATAATGAGATGGACATCTTAATTTAGAGAAAGCCATTAGTGTCTGCGGCAGAACATACCTCTGGGCTCGTAAATGTCTGCACCGCAGATAGGATGGACAACACATCGGGTTTACAAGTGGTGAAGAGAGAAAACAGCCACTGTTAAAGCATCTTAAGAAGTCACTTACTCCCTGTATTCAAGCATCTGAACGAGTCTGATAGTTAAGTGAGCGAATCAGCGAAAACAACAACAAAGTCAATGAAAAACCTAGAGAACGAATTCTAAAGGCTATCATAAAGAACCCCGGGTTGTCAAAAGGGCATGCTGCAGATTAAAGTAGGCTAATATATAAAATATGATTTCTTCGAATTAGCTAACTTTTCCTCGAAATAATTACTAAATAGGCTATATTTTAATATTTTAAAATTAGTCGAATGAAATATTTTCTTTCTTAATGTCCAACTCACCGCCTATAATCTTTGACGCCCACGCGGAGATGCTGAATAAAACCAAAACGCAGGCAGATTTTCTCATCAGTTCCATTTTAACACCTTTGATCAAACTTCCATGGGTCTTAAAAGTAATTTCACGAAGACAATGGGATTCCGAGAAAATAAAAAAGGAACATCCAACCCTTCATCCAGTAGAAAACGAATCACCTGTCCCGTTATCCGCTGAAATCTTTGTGAACATCCAGAGAGGCAGCTCAGAGTGAGACGAGGGCGCGTGACTGAACGAACACACATGCGATCATAACACGTCACCATCTGACAGTACACACCATGGGCTTTTATTTGTAGATATGAACAAATTCCGTAACGGTTTACAAGTAGCCTAGGCTATAGCCTACAGCCTTCTACAGATAAATAAAGTGTTAAAAAAACAACAACAAACATTTTTATGATGTAGCATAGACATAGGCCTGCTATGGTACAAGTAGCCTAAACATCTTGAACATTTGTCTACTATGGTAAAAGACATTTTCTTCATGGAGTCTTAAATTTCATCAATATGTTTACTGGAGCTTCAGAACTTCTTTCTGGTCCTCATCCACAGGTGATGAAAGTGTATTTAGAGCCAATCTAATAAAAAAAAGCACATAAATGATTGTTTTCAAAATTGAAATTGGTTTAGGTAATACTTTATTGTACAGTGCCTTTGTTACACGTTACATTTACTATAGTAATAATTAACAGTACATTTCTTTTATACTGGATTGTTCACTTTGAAATAAATTTTTGATATGTTTTAGCTTACCTCAAGGGCATCCAAGATACAGGTGTCTTTGTTTCCACAGTATTTTCAATTTTTATATTTTTAGGTCAAACCGTTCTTGTCTGTCAGTCATATAATGGTGGTTTATAGGGTCCACCTCAAAGAGCATACACAGAGAAGTCCAAATTAAACATGATTTAATGACTCGTAAATGTAAGTACACAATGATGGCCTAAGACATAAAACGAGCAGGTTGTATGAGAAAACGAACACTATTTATATCGTTTTTACCTCTTGTAATCACAGTCACGTATGCGCCAGAAAGCCCGGAAGTGATCTCTCGCGCGTGTACGTCAATCATTGTTTACACAGAGATTTAAGAAGTGTTATCCTTCACTGTGAAGATCTAAACATATTTAGATACAGGAAATTGCAATGGAAGACGATTTCAATATATAAACAGACAACGTTGATTTTTTTTCTCGCAACCACGCAAGAGATCACTTCCGGTGCTTGCGCAGAGCAAAGCGCCCGTGCCGTGGTTACAAGAGGTCAACACGATATAAATACTATTCGTTTTCTCACACAACCCGCTCGTTTCATGTCTTAGGCCATCAATGTACTTAAATTTACGAGTCATTAAATCATGTTTAATTTGGACTTCTTGGTGCATGCTCTTTGAGGTGGACCCCATAAACCTCCATTATATGACTGACAGACAAGAACGGTTTGACCTAAAAATATAAAAATTGAAAATACTGTGGAAACAATGACACCTACGTCTTGGATGCCCTTGAGGTAAGCTAAAAGATATCAAAATTACTTTCAAAGTGAACTATCCCTTTAATGCATTTTCTGTTTTGCATTGTATTTAGGAGTTAATCTCAGCATTATCAAAATGCGCAAGGCGTTCTCATCCCAAAGCGCCATATAGGACGCTTTTGCAAAAGCGTAAATATCCAACGCACATGGCACCCTTTAACGTCTAATGAGACGCAGAGGTTAATGGTTAAGTTTAGGTATGGTGTAGGGTAAGGGTTAGACCACTAGGGGGCGCCTTTTGCCCAAATATATCTGCGTCTCATTTCACGTTAAAGGGTACCTTTACCCCATGTGCGTTGGATATTTACGCTTTTGCAAAAGCGTCCTATATGGCGCTTTGGGATGCGTCATACTTGCACATTTAACTTAATATTGAAACCAATCTGCTGCACAGGCTAATTAAAGTCTTCCTACATGACATTAAGTAAAGGATTTTGCAATGATGCATTTATCAGAAAGGGAATTGTTTTGGATAATAGGGCAGGAAATCAATGCTGGTTTGAGATGTTTGTACAGAGCAGAGCAGAAAACATCAGACAGGTTTCAGATCAATAACTAAGCCTCAATATAAGCTTAGTTTTCCAATAACCCTTCATCACTCGGTCTAGAGATCAATTTTAGTAGGCTAAGAATCCATATAATAATGAAAATGTTAGAAACTGTCAGATATTTTCCCTCTCTCTCAAGCTCACGTTTACATGTTTAAATAATACTTGGGGGTGAGGTCCTGTTTTTTTTCCTTTTATAATTGGAGTGATGCTGTCCGCAGCAGTACTATTAAGCAGCACACAATTACTATTACTTTATTGAATGCAGTAATACACTGCACAATCACCTTTAATTATAAAAGTTTATTGCACTAGTATCCCTAAGTTGCCGAGATGAAATTATAATCAGGTACATGACAGAGAAAAGAAATAACATTTTGTAGAGGTACCTTTTTTCTACTGGGTTGCCTTTTCTTGGTTTGTGTTGGTAGGAAATCATCTCCTTCTGTTTGAATAAACATATTAATTCAGCATATTAAATACAATATGAAACACACACACACACACACACATTGTTTTTTTCTGTTTTAAGATGACTCCACGGAAACATTGAGTATAACGTTTTTATATAAAAAAAATCATAATTTCCTTTTCTAAAATGTTGTCCCCACAACATCGATGTTTGTTTGATCAAACATACAGTAAAAGCAATGACATAATGTAATATAAAAATATTATTACAAATTAAAGGATTGTTTTCTACTTTAATATATCACATGATCATTCAGAAATCATACTTATATGCTGATTTGGTGATGAATAAATATCAATAAATAGTATTATCATCATCATATGTTTACTTTTTACTATTATTTCAAGGACCCCAAACTTTTGAATAGTACTAGTATTGTTTAATCATTTTTGGGGGCTGGGATGTGTTGTTATCCATCTCAGTTTTGGCTGTAAAATGTACAGTTTTCAAGTTTAAAATTAATACAGGGGTTGGGCTATGAAACTGAAACACCTGGGCCCGTATGTATAAAACTTCTAAGAAATGCTCATAAGAATAGTCTTAAGCTTTGACTTAGGAGTCAGAAAATACTTAGTAAAGAGTAGGACTTTTCTAAGAGTAGGAGACTTTTATAAAGCAGCTAAAAGCAACTTTCAGTAAAGTATAACACTGATTCCTAAGTGCTGACTGAAGTGGGACTTAAGTGCTGTGAAGGACTACAATGATGTGAACCCAAAATGTCTGCCCTGAACCTCTGAATCAGCCAATAATGATGCAAGGATGAGGTCACAGCAGCATGACACAATTAATTAATTATTTAATTAAGACATTAATTATTAAGACATGAATTATTTCAATGTTTCAATTTATTTAGAATAATTCATTTTTGCGTTGTACAAAAAGATTACAAATAAGTACAAGCATTTATTTCACACAATTTTAACAGAGTTTCAACACACTAATTAAATGGACAAATGTGATGATATTTAAGTAATAAAGCTGATGAATCACATAATTAAAAATTGCACTCACAGCTGTATATAAAGGAAAGACAAAATTTGAAAATTGGTAAAAAAAAAAAAAAATGGATGCAAAAACAAAACCAAACTGGTCCAAGGAAATGCAGAGTCATTATAACTTTCATTTCTGCAGTTAAGGCATTGTCTCTTACAATGGGAGAAGTTGAATTTCTGACTAGGTCAGTAACAAAAATAATACCCTGACGATCAAGCCTGTCTCATTTGATCAACTCTCTCTCATCATATAATTCCAACACATTCTTACGTTGTTGGAAACTGCACGGCCTCCTCCTCTCTGCTGCCATCTTGTTACTCCTAACTGGTTAGGAGACCTCTCCAGCTCTCTTAAATAAATTAGGAGCTGAGACCTAGTCTTAACACTTAGGAACTTTTATGAATCACACTTATTCTTAAGTATAAGAATAAGAGTAAAATTACGTCATTCTTAGAATTTTGACACACTTAAGACAAAAAATTTACTCTGAGCGGCTTTATACATACGGGCCCTTGTTTTAGACAACAATAATTTATTATTATGGTATAGGGTCTCCTTTTGCAGCCAATACAGCATCAATTTGTCTTGGAAATGACAATTACAAGTCCTTCACAGTGGCCAGAGGGATATTATTGCAGCTCAAACCATCACTGATCCACCCCGTGCTTCACTATGGACACGCAACAGTCCAGGTGTTAAGCTTTTTTGGGGCTTCTGAACACTTCTAAACTCCCACAGATGTGGGGAAGACAGTGAATGTGGACTCATTAGAGAACAATACATGTTTCACATGTTTATAGCCCAAGATTTGCACTGCTGGCATCAGTGACATTTGGCATTGGTACCAGTGATCAAAAGAGTCCTGACCATGAATACTGACTCTGTGGAGCTCCCAACAAACAGTTTTGGTGGAAATAGGAGAGTCAAGGTGTGAATTTAATTCAGCAGTGAGTTGGGCAGCTGTGATTTTATGTTTTTTTTGTGTTGCCTGGACATCTTTTTCAGACAGCTTTCTCTTGCATTGACAGTTACTCCTGTTACATGTGGTTCATTCTACGTGGTGGTATGCCGACATTACCCTGGATACCATAGCTTTCCAACTTTCCATACACCACAAAGACTTGCAGTCCAGGGGACGTATTATAGAGACCTTCTATCTTAAGTTAAGATCTGACAATTTAATTTAGGATTTTTCACAAATTCGTAGTTGTTGATTTAGTATTCTTATCTTACAAAAGCAAAACCTATCTTACTCATTTTATATATTTTTAGGAAATCTTAAACCCCTCCATCAAGTTCTGTAATCAACTCTCAGGTCTGTTACCAAGCAACCAATGACACGCAAACAACTGCTATGAAGTCAGATGGGAAAACTGGAGAATGGAGAAACAAAATAAGTGGTGCTTTTCATTAAGTGAAGTTTTAATAAGCTTGTTAGATAATCCTTTTATTTCACATGAGTCTGTAATTATTTGTCAGTTTTTTCGTCAAAATGCAGCACATCATTTGTGTCTGCAAAATGCTATTCTTCATCTTGTATCGTTAATAAATGTGACATCATTCTCAGACAGGGCTATTATTGTGTGATTTTTACTTTCAAACATTTTTGAAGTCAGGACACTATTGGGGTTGTCCTAAAGTTAAGACAGTTTTTAGGATTTTTTGTGGAATTAGGAATAGGATGCTTCTGTAATACCCTTTTCCTATCTGTAATTAAGATACGATAATGCATTTAAGAAATGTCATTTTGTCCTAAAAGCTTTTCTCCTAACTGAAATTGCCATGGTTACCAAACAGATAGGATTCTAAAGTTAGGATCTTTCTGTAATGCGCTCCCTGGTCACAGACACACACCAACAATTTGTATTGTTTTGAACTCTGAAACTGTATGTCTCCCATTATGTTTTGTGGAATATGATCTGCAAATATAGGCGTGAAACCTCCAAACCTGTTGCCCATTGTTTCAGTTTCATTGTCCAACCCCTGTACATGCATACATACACTATGGCCCTTCTAAAGAAAAAGATGACTTCAGTTCCAATTGTATTAGCAAACTAGGTTCGTAAGGTACTCATGCAGGGGGTGGATAAAGCACTAGTACCTCATAATCATCAGGCTGCTCCCGAGAGAGACATCAAAGTCTTGAGGAAACCCACCCCCTCCTTTACTTTCCTCCTATATAGGGGAGGATGCCCTAAGAAACGCTGAGGCTCTAGGGAAAAAGTGCTGAGGAAGGGAGAGAGAGCACTCTAATGAATGGGAGAGAAATAAAACACTTGGCTGTCTGAGGAACCCTTTCCTGCAGCATCCAAATATGCAACGGCTGTGTTAGCAGAAGACCCGAGATGAGGGTAAGGCTGATCCAAACTGAACTGAGAGACCTGAGCGGATGTTTTAACCTAATGGGGCCGAGTACTTTATTATTCTTACCTTAATTCGCTCAGCCCTCTGCTTTTTCAGAAGGGCAATAATCTGGTCACGTTTCTTGGCCTAACACAAATAAGAAATATGAATCAGAATTAGCAGATTTATTGCTAATCATGTTTACACACACTATTCATCTTGATGGCAGAAGAAGTTTACAGTGTGCATAATAGTTACTGAAGTTATTTATCAACACCAACATTGATGCCAATCTGTAAAAGATGGTTCACCATGATAAATATAATTGTGTTGACTATAACAGCACTGCCGAAGTATATTTCAGCCGACGTTTTGATTTAACGCCTATGGTTTCTGGCTGCACTTAATGTCATTTCATTAAATCCATTACATGCTTGTAGATTGTAACTATTTTTCAAGCCAATGTCACTTTATGGCAGGTTAATCAGTTATAGTAATGTAATGTCTGTTGATTATAATCACCCTTTGTAAACATCTGTCATATTGCAATCTGCTAAAACCTGATTTTCCACGCTGAAGTAAACACTACAATCAACATGATTATATATATATATTACTTTGCATGTTTTTTAATTCAGCCTCAAATGCTTCTTTTACAGGGCAGATCCACATTTTATGAAAACCTCCAATATAATTCTCTGATAAGGGATGGGAATGAGGTTAATTTGCTAAGAGTAATCTCATAAAATGGATCTGTCCTCCAGAGGGCCATCCATCTTGGGGATTCCAGGTTGATTACTCACACCATGAATACAGACATTACAGAGAGGGTACAGCCCACTGAACCGCTTGACACGCTATCTTCAGATGCAAGGAAATGAATGACAGACCAAATTGTAAAAAAACACATTAAACACCCGTTTATTTGGAATATGGAAGGCTGGAGTAAACAGCACATGGTAGAGAAGGTAAAAATGATTCCATTATACAGACAGTCACGCTTAAGATTATGCTAGAAAACATAATCATCAACTTGATCTAACTATTTTGCGTGTTGGCAATTTCGTAAAAATGTGTGCAATGTGAAACATAGGACAACTTATGATTTTTAGACAAAATGTAAGCGATATGTGTGATATGTTTTAGCTTACCTCAAGGGCATCCAAGATGTAGGTGTCTTTGTTTCCACAGTATTTTAATTTTTGACATTTTTCAGTCAAACCGTTGTTGTCTATCAGTCATACACTGGAGGCTAAGGTGGTCCACCAAAAAGCATGCACAGAGAAGTCAAAATTAAACATGATTTAATGACTCGTAAATGTAAGTACACACTGATGGCCTAAGACACGAAACGAGCAGTTTTTGTGAGAAAACGAACAGTATTTATATCGTTTTTACCTTGTGTAATCACAGTGACGTCCAAGTGATCTGAATCAGTTGTGCAATGTCCAACTGAACCGAACTCAATCAGTTCAATGTTACGCTGGAAGTGATCGCTTGCGTGTGACATCACTCATTATTTACACGGAGATTTCGGAAGTTTTACCTTTTACTAAAAATATTACCGAAATCGTCTTCCATTGCGGTTTCCCGTATATCTAAATATGTTTAGTGAAAGGTAAAACTTCCGAAATCTCTGTATAAACAAAAAGTGACGTAGGCGCGCAAGCGATCTCTTCCGGGGTATGCGCAGACCGAAGCGCCGGTGCCGTCAGATCATTTGGTCATGACTATGATTACAAGAGGTAAAAACGATATAAATACTGTTCGTTTTCTCACACAAACCGCTTGTTTCGTGTCTTAGGCCATCAATGTGTACTTACATTTACGAGTCATTAAATCATGTTTAATTTTGACTTCTCTGTGCATGCTTTTTGGTGGACCCCCTTAGCCTCCAGTGTATGACTGATAGACAACAATGGTTTGACTGAAAAATGTCAAAATTGAAAATACTGTGGAAACAAAGACACCCACATCTTGGATGCCCTTGAGGTAAGCTAAAACATATCAAAAATTAATTTCAAAGTGAACTATCCCTTTAAGATCTACCCTGACATGTAAGCAGATCATATGAAAATGTAAGAGACAGATTGTATGAATTCATATGAATTAGCCACCAGTTTGGCAAAACATAAAAAAAGTGTTTGTTTTTTTTTGTACGAATTGCCATGAGATTGTGTTGGGCCACCCAGCTTGAGTGCTGCTTTCATTAAGGGTGGACATTTCATTAAGGCTGGCATTCATGTTTTAATTCAACTTTGTTATACTGATAATAATAATTTGCAATGAAAAATAGCCTATTAAAAAAAAAGAATGGAAAATAATTGGATCCGACTATCACTGTAAAAAATAAAACCGTAATTTTTATGGTAAAAAAACCGGCAACTTTATCGTCAAAAATACGTTATTGGTTTTACCAGACTTAAATTAAAATTTAAAGTAATAAACCATACTCCATTATCTGATATAATGTAAATTTACCAACCTTTTGAAGAATTTATATGTTTTGTACCATTGTAATACACTGACAACCAACATTCATCACAGCAGTGATGAAAGTTGCATGATTAATCATAACTCATCACAAACAATATTCCAAGGAAGATTAATACTTTAATAAAGAAGCTGCACAGTGTTATTCACACAAATATTAAATACCATCATGGTAACACGCATGAAATTAAAAAAAATGCAATAAACATTAATTTAACAACATCAAATGTAACATAAAACCCTAATGTACATGTACTGATTAGGGAAAAAAACAAGACAACTATGAGGAACCATAGTTATTTCAACAAAAATACATAAAATGTGAAGTGTCACACAGGCAATTGTGGGAATGTCAATTTACGGTTTTTCACTGTAAATTATAAAATGAGTTGTTCATTTTCACTTTCAAAATCGGTAAATTTAACAGTATTTTACAGTAAAATTACATTAAATGTACCCATCACAGTTATTTACCGTATATAGTACGTAAACATTCTATTAACCAATTAACAGTTTTGCACTGTAGCATTTTTACAGTCTTTTACCAATTTATGATTATTTTTTACAGTGTACAGTTTACATACAACTTGAAGAACTGAAAATGTTTCTTTTCTAATTTCATCTTTGTAAAATTGTAATGATATGAAGATAAATTAAACTCATATTTGGACATTTTGCATAACCGCATAATATGACTAGCCTGATTACATCTGACTTCCTACTTCCGCTAATTTCATTTCGCTCCTGTAGTCAGTCTGAGAGCAACCTATCTTTCAGTTTTCCAGCGGCCTTCGGACGACCGGACAATCAACCAACAGAGGGCGTGTCTGAGAGCCGTGACGTAAACGCTAATCGCCGAATTTTACATTGTAGGTTAGAGAAATCAAATGGGAAACGAGACACGGGATGCAATTCGCTCTGTTTATGAGAACATTCTGGGGTTTTTCAAACTGAAGCCAGAAAAAGAAGAGTGTTTGATAAACCTTTTAAATGGAGGCGATGTTGTGGCCCTACTCCCGACTGGTTTTGGGAAAAGTTTAATTTATCAATTGTTACCGTTAGTTACGTCTGTCTACGAAGCACAGTGAAGTAGCAGAGTCTGGTATTACCAGGGTAGAGGAACAAAGAGCTGTGTTTAAAAGATCTAATCCTAAGTTTGAGAGTTGGCTACAAATATTTTCTTGTTTCACTCTGGCAAAAATAAGTTTAGAGGCCGTGATTGGTCGTGGATAAGTAGATTAACTTCGCATAATCTGCAAAAGTTGCTTGTTCACTTCGGTATTTCGCTCGCATCATCAAGTGTTTACAGCAGGTTTATAGTGGAAGTTCGATCATAGATTTGAGTTTGATGGATGATGTCTGTGGTTCGATGCGGCTGTGTCGGCGCGTAATTGGCTTGCTTACGGGTAACCAATGATTTTAAATTTCAGACAAGCGCCCCCTAGCGAGAGAGAAAACACTTTTCTATTATGCCATTCCAGAATTTGTCTACGAAGCAAAGTGAAGTAGCAGAGTCTGGTATTATAATATGACCACAGTTTTAAAAAATCTTAATGCTCATCAGGTTCTGTGGCAAGTGCTTTTTTGTTTAGTCTGTAAAGTAAAACGACAAGTTTCTTGTCCCAGCAGTGACGCCTAAAAGGGACAAATCAATGCCTCCTTATTCTTGTACACAGATGAATTGATCCGCAAGACCAATGATTTCCAGCTAATTCGATTAGTAGATCTGGTTAGTGCAGTGTTGGGAGAGAAAGTAGCTATGTAGAGATTCATCACTGCACAAATATAGGGCTTAAGAGCATCTAAGCAGGCTCTTAAGGATTCTGCCAGCTAGATAGCATTACAACTGACTCCTCTGTGAGAAAATTTACACAAGTCAGACAGCGATGGAAACCTTTAAATTAAATCTGCAAATTTATTGGATACCTCTGTTTGAAAGCACTGAAAGTGCACTATCAATCAGCATACAAACCGCCTGGTAATATGAAGCACAACATATCAGGTGCTTCAATAGCATAAATGATGCAAGGATGCATTAGTGTACGCATCAAAATTCAGGGTTAGGGGTGTGTTCAAATTCCTAGGATCAAAGTATCAGCAATAGTTACAGTGATGCTTGCTGTAGCACCATTACAATATCTACTTTATACCAGTTCTAATTTATTGTTATCTTAAATGATCTGTGATGCTCCTCAGATACTCATTGGGCTAATGTGGTGTGCTGAGCACTACTCAGAATCCAGCCTGCCAGATCCACACTTAGAAACCCTGCTGATCTCAAATCATCTTTCATCAGCGATCTATAACTGCCCTCCACAGGCTGGCTCATTAGCTTTTTATGCAGCAATGCACTGTCTAGAATTAAAGATCACAGCAAAGGGAGTATCAAGACAAACTCGGGGCATCTAGTCCATGTATTTTCAACAAACTGAAGTATGCCATATGGAGTGGATATACACACCCCTGTTAAAACAGTTTTTGCAAAGTGAAAAAAATTAACGAAAATAAATAATTTCATAACAGACCATAAACATCACAATCACAGCTCTTACGGGTGCTTGTGAAGGCATATCTCAAGTAAATGTAGGAGTTTGAATAAAAGGTCCAACATTAGGAATACTTGATATGTGTCATGAGAGTAAGCAACTGAGTATCAAACACTTTGTGTAGAGCGAACGTGAAACCCATTCAACGATTCGGCACATTTTTTTGACACAACGCGCCACCCGCATTGTGTCAAAAAATATAGCCAATATATATATTGATATATTGATGTATTACCAGAGCCCGTCTAACGGAGAGCCTTGGCACTTCCTATTAGCCCTATTGTGTATCATCTTGGTTGCAGTTCCATTAGAATTCCACTGGAGGTGATCGCGGGCGAGTGCAGAATGAATGGGAGTCTATGGGGCTAAACGGCTAAATGTGTCTCTTTCACCTGCTTGTCGTTAAATCAACATAGATTTTATTGTTGATTCCGCAAGTTCAATATAGATTATAGGCCAAAAGTCGAATGAACGAGTACTTATGTCCTTTCGATGTCTTACAGGCTTGGCCATTGTTGGCTGGAACATGCTAGCATTCTGCTATTGTGTGACGTCATCACATTTTTTAATGGATTTTTAGAACAGATAAGTGAACTTAAAAATGCAATTTTCAGCTTAGTGTATTTTCTTAGCCCTCCCTTTGGAATGCAACTTTCAAATTACTTGACAAAAAATTACATCCTGAGAAAAGTGGATTTCTGGGAGTAAAACCCCATTGACTCCCATTCATTCTACACTCGACCGCGAGCGCCCCCGCATTACATGGACAGAGGCGTGTTACTGCAGCCAGTCCAGAAACCGGAAGTAACCAGCCAGTGCTAATTCTCTCTTTAATTAGACATTCTCTGGTATTACACAGCTCTGTGGAATACTTGATTCGGATTGGTCAATAGCGCCATCCGGTATGTTATTCCCAGATAACAACTACCCAAAACAGATAACGCAGGCTCATCAGGGTTACTGAAGTTAGCAGCGCTAGGAACATTTTTTCTTTGTGGAAGTTTTGCGTTTGGTGAGCTAATAAAGTATTAAAACTCGATCAATTCGAATCACTTTTTTGTGTAGTTATTTAATTATGCCATCCAGTTTCATGGACTCGCTCTCTCTTGTTTCATAGAAAAACGCAGCGGTATGACTATATACCGTCTCTAGTTTGAACTTGCCGCAACTTCTCTCCGCAAAGTTTTACCTTTAAAGAGCTAATAAAATATTTCAACTCAGACCAATATTTTGTGTCTAATTATTTACTAATGTGGCAGTAGCCGTGTAACAAGCAGGATAATGTACATCCAGCCAGCTGTTCTCAGAATAACCCTCTTCAGGCTGATTAAGATCCCTCCGCTTCGTGTCGGGGGTTATTCTCAGAGAACACTGTCTGGCCAAAACAAGTTGTTTGGACTTAAAAAGGCAAATCAGAGGAGCGCCTTCATGTGAAAAAAAAAATGATCTTGCTCGCTCCCAACCATTTTTTCACCATTTGAGCTGGTTTCCACTGCAGGAACTTTCCCCATGAACTAGTAGGGACTTTGGGGTGGTACTTTGTGTGTTTCTACCACAGGGACCAGGCTCTAAATGAAGTTCAGTAAAAAAAAAAAAAAAAAAATCAGCTCAGAAAACCCCTGCTCGCAAGGTAGTACTTTTTCAATCTTCAGGAATTTTCGGGGGCTGAACATGCTGATTGGTTGAGTTCACGCAGCATGTTTATTGGTTGACTCCACGCAGCATTTTATTTCAAGCTCCATTTAAAAGTCTGTTCCAGTACATGCAGTAAGAGTTGTTTCCAATTCAAATCAACAATGGAGTTTAAAAATTAAGACAGATGAACAGACGAAGAGGTTCAGGCTTCATTAAGCTTAAATGTGGAGGACAAAATCCAGCGGGAACTGGAAAGTCGCGTGCAGTCCTTTGTCATTTGCCTGACTAATTGTTTCCCAACCCGACTCCTAGAGGCACACCAACAGTGCACACCAACATTGCACATCAGTTCACCCTTATACCATATATTTGTCTCTAACGAGCTGATGAGTTGATTCAGTTGTGATTGATTAGGAAAAGTTGGACAATGTTGTTCCTCAAGGAACAGGGTTGGGAACACTGCTTTAGACCGTGATAAAAACTCAGACAGCTATAGGTCTGGGGGGAAAAGTTCCTACCTGGGGCAAATTGTTCCAGGTAATTTCGGTGGAAAAGCAGCTATTGTCATCATGGAATATGGCCATGATGTGTCATAAAAAACTACACACTCTATGGGTAAGAACAGTTGCCAAACATATGTAAATATAGGCCTATTATTATTATCATTATCTATATAAACTACCTGCTGAAAAAAACAATACTTTATTTAATATTTTTGCTGAGGGTAAAGATGTTTCTTTGGTTGAATTCAGCAGAATAAAACAGCATTTTTCTCAAAACAGTTTAATGAAACTGGATGGTTAACATGCAGTTCCACTGAGACCTCACCATCTCCAAGTATTTCTGTCTCTCCTCTTGTTTTTGCTTCAAATAAACATCCTGCTGGATTTCATCATCCCTCTCTACCAAGAAAACAAACAGGCCAAAACATATTACATTTAATAATAATAATACATTACACTCATTCAGTCAATATTAGCCTATAGCCAATACTTACTTGACCATGACGCTTGGTTTGCACCAGCATTTGTGGCTAAAAATAAAACAACAGAAGATTATTCTTCTTTTATTTCAGTCCTTTCCATGCGCCACCACAACTTTGGAACAGTATTTAGAGACTACAATTTCTATTTTACATGACAAAATATAGACTATAGGCCTACTTTTAAGCGCATAAACAGCATTTTCTCTAATGGTGCAATTCGAAAAAAGCACTAAGTTATAAGCACAACATTAAAGGTGTTTAAGCGTTTCACAGATGATTCATAAAAGTTTTCAACGCACGCACTTTAAGACAATTTGCATGTACAAAATACATTGAATGAACGTCACGCTTACAGTGCGGGGTCTTCGCAACTTTTAACCGCTGCCTGATGTCAGCAGAAACGAGACGAGACTCTATTGGAGGCTGTAAGGAAAGGGAGTTCCAGAAAACTTTCGCATATGCCACATCTTCTTGTGACGCTCCATTAAATACCGTATACAGTTTTTCGATTTCTGAAAGACTGTCTAAAACCTCTTCGTTTAGTTCTTCAGTCATAATAGTTAGCGAGCTTTCTGTTTTAGCCATGTAACAGACACTGAAGATGTGTTACGGTTGTCATGGTGACTAAACGCTCAGACCAGTAAACGGAAGTGCGGGGCAGGGGATTTCTTTTCTTTTTTTTTTTTTTTTTTGCTTTATTCAAAATTAACAATATAATACAACAACATCTGTTTATGCCAGGGTTGATACAAATACACTACTAAACAGACATACAAGACAAACAATGACCATAAAAAAAAACAACAACAAATAAAACAAGACCAAATTACATAAAAGGATGCTAATTAAGCATATTTAGAAAGTACAAGATCAGTCTTAATAGCCTTTCTATTTTTAAGACCTCTTACAGTGGTGTAATACTGTTTTAGCTCTGCTAAAAGGTGTTCAAAATTTGGTTTGGACTCTGCCCATTTCTTCTTATGAATATGGAATTTTCCCAAGACTAAAAACAATTGGACAAAAAAAAAAAAAAAGAAAGAAAAATCCTTATCTGTTCCACCATCTTCAAAGTAAATAGGGGCCGGGGATTTCATGATGAAAGAAGAGAGGCAACTCAGCAGAATATTCGTAGTTTTAAAGGGAACAATTTTTTTTATGTTTTATTTTTTTACAGTAAGTTTAAGTTAGGCTACTAGCCATTTCAACACTATATAGAGAGAAAAATGTGCCAAAATTCAGAAATCTTTGCAAGACATCACTGAACATTTATTTAACCATATGTAGCAAAAGTACATTTCTTAAGTTACTTTTTCATCTCTATTTTTTGTGTTTATTTAAAATTAGACAAATTAAATCTGATATTTTAATCTCCAATCTGTTGTTTAACAGTTAATATAGTTCTTTAATGCTTCGCTAAATAGCAGAAGACACGAGCAGGGTTTTAAACCCCTTGTAACACTGCGTTACAATCATGTGTCACTATTAGAAATATGCTAGTATATTCTATAGGCTACTTTTACGAATTCTATTGAGAAAAAACAAGAAACGTGTAAATAAAGACTGAGAGTCAATGTTCAGAAATTATCCATTATTATTTTGTTTTGAAGTACTGTATAGGCCTAGGCTGTGTTTTCCGGTGTGTTTGTTGTCAAACCCAAAAACTAGATTATTTTTAAATATTAAAAATGCCATTATTTTATATGAAAAAGTTAATAATTGTATTTTATTAAGAAAATATTTTGGTTTGACTTGTATATTTTTTATTAGATCAGAAAGCATTTCATATGGTGATGTTACAATGTGCCCCTCACATGTTACAATGTACCCCTCCTATGGGGCATGTTGTCACACTCACTCCCATTCTTTGAGGGTAAATTAAGAAAAAAGTATACACTGTATTAATAAAACAAAACCATATAATTGTACTAAACATGTGAGAAATCAATGTGGGGAAAAAATAAATACTCTAAATCCTAATTAGATTTACACAAACTGAGAAAGTCAAAAAGCGTTACGTTGTGCCCCGCTCTCCCCTAATTGTAGAACTTCACGTAGAGTGTTTTGAAATAAAAAATCTATTATATACCCAACAAGACAATACTCATAACTGTAGAGTAAAATATTTTTAGCCTACATGTTTTTTTTCTGGTGAGAAAGCTTATAAGAAATGATTAAATTATAATTTAAGATGAACAAAACAAAATGGCATTTCCATATCCCTATTACTTAAATGGTTGTTTCTTCTTATCAGTTATGTTTGTTATCTTGATGGCATAACACTGCATTTTCTTGTAGCATGTTTATAAACGACAGTACATAGAAAGCACAATTTAGAAATATCATATTGGCCTATACTGTAGCCTACAGTATATGTGGCTTTCCTGCACTGTCTGTACAGGGAACAATGTCATATTTACTGTATATAGAGGTACAAATCATATTTAGCAGCACAAATACATTTTTATAATAAATCAATATAAAAACATAGGCCTACAACAATGTGTATATTCAGGCACCAAAAATAAATAAAAAAATAAATAAATAAATAAACAGACTTTTCTCCAGCAAATTTCTGCCCACCACTGCATTTTTCTAATGTAAATTTAAAATAATACAATTTTTATTTTGCAGAGGCAGACTTTTTCTGAACTCAGTTAACAGTTGACAAATTCAAATGTTATTGAACAAATATACAAAAATTAGCAATACCACCAAATCTAATCAATTGAAAAATCAGAAAAATGTGTGATATGTTTCACTTTATTTTCAGATGTTTCATTACAAAGATCATATTATAAAAACACAACAAAAACAAATAGTTGTTTTACAACTGGTCTTCACCTGGTAGTGAGGTTAGTGATTACTATAAGGATCGTAATCAATTAACTACACTGCCTGATGACCACACAGTATAGCCTCTGTATACCAGACCACACGGTACAGCCTCTGGCAGGGTCCATTTCCATCATTGTTTTATCCTAATGTCTCCTTCAGAACCTGCACAAATCCACCAGAGTCATGTCAGACCTGCATCTCACAAAAGCTGTTCTTCAAATGACAAATAGACCAATATGATATACATAAACACCGTCAAATAATTGTATCAGCTCTGTGTTTCCTTGTAGGTCGTTGTGTTGGCAGTATGGTTAGTGATTGTAGATTATATAAAACAATCAGCTAACAACACTGCCTACAAACCAACCCCAACAGGTTAATATATCAGCACATTAATCTGTTTGTAACCCTCATGTAACCATGTAATCATGTAGGCTAACCGGAGAAAAAGGCAAACAATACATTTAAATAAATAGGCCTATTTGCTAAATACATACCCAAATCGAAGAAAGAAGTAATACCCACTGAATGCAAAGACATAACGTTAACAAATATTAATCATTTTAGTCTTTCAGAGAGAAGTCACCTGACTGAATTCTTCTGCACTCAGGTTTGTGTTCATCTGTTGTTGTTACCACCCTGCTGACGTCACATCTCCGGGTGGGGTTGAATGTGAATATATAGCTACCTCTTTTTAATTATAGGTGATTTTACCTGTCAAATAAAACAATTCATACCTGGGAAACGAAGGTCCCCATAACGACCATTTAAAGTGAGCCAGTAGGCTACGTGAAGAAACTCACCGGGGGTTCTCTATCCCGTCGTGTTTCAAAGTCCCTCTGCTTTGGATTCCAGCACAAGTTGTCTGTAGCCTATTTATAGCCAGTGCTGATATTGAATGTTCAAATTCAGCGCCCTCTGAGGCGGGAGCAGGTTGAGCGCGAACTACGGCGCTCACCGCTGCTGATACTGGCGCTATTTCTCCTAGGCTATACAACACAGAGATGCGCGCCGTGCAAAGAGCGAAAATACAAAAGCATAAAATCAGTGGAATGTAAGCCTACTTAATTGACTCAAAACCAGTGAATTCTTAATAACATTGCTCTCACTAAATACAATAAAACATAATCTTTACACTTGTGCACTCCTATAAACACTGAACTAAAGAATATTTTGATTAATCTTATTCTGAGCACGAAAAAGTAGGCTAAGCCTAATTTAAGATTTACAATTATTAGAACTTCCATCAAATTGAACTGAATAACTCGTAAATATTGTTTACATAGCTAATGAATTAATGAGTAAAAAAAATAGAACTTAAAACATTTCATATAAATCTAAACATAGCCTAATTATTTTCTTTCTTTCATTTTTTATGAATACGAATCACACAAAGTAATATGTCCATTCCCTTGTTCCATTTAGATTTATACAAAATGTTTCATGCTCCTTTTTGTTATTAATTTAAAATTATTATTTCATAATGAATATGTATAATATAAATAATATATAGCCTAAGTATTATTCGATTCAATTCAATTTGATAAAATTTTACTATTAATTGAAATGCATAAATATACATTTTTTTAATGGATAGACTATTTTCCGTGAACGAAAAAAAAATTGACATAGACTAGACGTACTGTTCATTAGGGTGTACAATATTAAGATCCAATATTTAGAGAGATTTTACGATTTTTTTTTTATTTTTTTTAGGCTACATCTTGTAGAATATTTAGCAAGATTAGGCTATATATTTTCAGTGATCGACACCAGCCCGACTATTCCTCACATCATTGTTCTAATAAATGAATAATAATAATAATAATAATAATAATTATCGATTCTCAAGTCTACAAGTATAGTTCGACTACCTTAGGGTGTTTGCTTGTTTCCAGACTAAGACCAACTTTGAAAGTGCGTTAATCTGTATTTCCAAACAGCTTCTAAAGCTAATCCAATCAGAGTTGGACATCAAAGGATTAAATTATACCTTGCTAAGCCGTTACCTGTTATCATTCCTTCGGTTCAGTTGAAACACAAGTCAAGCGTAACGATGCTTGGAGACAACAAACGACCTCTGAGGCCCATGTCAACACTGAAAAGTAATGTTGTTAGCGGTTGGGAGGCAATGCTATACAGTGTTTAGCGGACAAAGCTCTCTGGACAACGTTACCAGAGAGACCATTCAGTCCACGTGAAGACAGGTCTAGACTTGCCCACAGGGACTATAAAAAAAATAAAAACTAAAAAAATCCCCACGTCCTTGCAGGCCCAACCTGTTCTTAGGGAACAAGTTTGCTCAACTGTTCTGTGAAGCTAATCAAATCTGTATGGTCTCCATATTGTTTTGGTTATCAACCAGGCCAACTAAATTAGGGATGGGTCTGTCCAAAAACAACCCAGTAGGCCTATCATGGTAATAAATGGGAGTCCAGACAAAAATAGATCCACACTCATTTATGATATGCTACCTTATTTGTATAATGGTTCAACATGGGTGTCATTTAATTTTGTTGACATCCGTTTCGTTTCATTTCTTTGGTAGCTCGCACAACGATTAGGAAAAAAATTCCTCTTTGTTGAACCTGAGACTAATGATTAATAAGGACTTCATTTTGAACATTATTAGTTCCTCCCACGATTTGAAACACCTGTTCAATCTAATTACAAATCAGCACATCCTGAGACATTAAAAAGCTGACTGATGTTCTAAGAGATGGAAATTATTAGTTGTGGGGCCTAATATGACTTTGCCTAGCTGAAGCAAAACA